CTCTTGTTCCATGCAACGAAAGGAAACCCGCGCCGGCACGCTGGTCTGTCCCAGTCGCCACAGCGAAACGAAACGCTGCATCAGAAGGAAGGCATTAGCTTCGAGGGTAAGGTGTGTAACAGAAACCAAAGGGAATGTAACGGAAATTACACCGAAAACCGAAACGGAAAGCACGAAAAATTGTAACGGAAATCATGTCCGCAAGCCTGGAAACCAGACGCAGGTGTAACGGAAACCAACCCTAAAAACCTCAACCTAAACCAACCCTAAACACTAAAGCCTAGACCCTGAACCCTCCCGCGTTGGTTTCTGTTACGCCCCGGCAAGGTTTCTGTAACGGTTTCAGGCCGGCAGTTTCCGTTTACAACCCGCCAATTTCCGTAACCAGACTTTACTCTTAGCTTCGAAGCCGGAACCCCGCGAGACGACTCTGGGAGTGTCGGACCTGCTCGAGTGTTTTTGGGCTTCTAACGGATGAAACCAACAGTGCAAGAACGCGAGATCCGTTGAGAAGCTCTCCTTCATCCTCAGGCTTCGGCAGCATGGCGGAATCTGACACGAGCAACTTACAAGTCACTCACATGCACGATTCAACCGTCAGCTCCAGCTCCCCATGACTGGAACCGTCCACTGGGCCCCTTGCCGTTGCGAACACTATATAAGAAGTCAAGCCCTCGCATGCGCCGATGTGGTTGCGTGGCATTCACCTGCCGCTGTAGCCACACGGTCTCATCCCCTGCATTGTTGTCATGTCCCGCCTCCGGCCCACGCCCGCTTTGCTCGAAGTCCCTGTGGCACATGGCAAGCCTATCCCGGACCCCGAAACACCTGGTCGTCACTGGCCTGATCACGGAGCCCAGGCGCTCCAAGTTGCTCTGGGCCTGATGGCACAATATGGTACAAGACGCTTCCCAACATGCTCTCATCTTTGCCACTTACAACTTATACCGTGGTATGACTTCTCAGCTGGCTTCCGCACAGTCGAAGTTTTGCTGCAATCCAGGATTTTCTGCCCACTTTAGAGTCATCCGCGACCACCCCTCCTGCCCAATCATTCCAATCTTGGGGCTTGGCATGCTCGACAGCTTTTCTGTCGTCACACAGCTCGATGTGGCGCGGCAACCTGTCACGATGCAGTAAACCATGAACCGTTTCGTCGCGGCCTGTCTTTCTTTCTTGCTTTTCCACCTAGCACTGTCGCGTCACCGGAACAGCGTCGAGGTTCAAGACCGTCTGGAACTTGTTTCGCCAAAAGTGCAATGCAGCTCCTGGTCTTGGGGGCCTTTGGACCCGCAGTAGTCCCGAAGTCTGACACAGGCAGTTACCACAGCTCACGTCTTACATACTTCAACGCTCCACGCTTTGCCAAGAAGTGCTCCATTGGGAGAGCATCAAGATGGTTGTGAGGAAGACTAAATATGATATCCTGGCCCGTCATTAGCAGTATGACTCATCGTGACTCATCGTCGTGACGCTAAGATTGAAACCCACGCAATGGCATGCTCTCTCGCATCTGGGCTACATCGGGCTACACATTCATGCTAGACAGACTGAAACTTCTTGAGGGTCACTTCTAGCCGCTTCAATGGTGTCTCAATGGGCGATTCGAATGCACAGCCAACAGCACCCGAATGCGACCTACAGTAACAGGAGCACTCGTCAAACTAGGCTGCGGCGTTGTTCGCGAATCCGTCGAAAATTCAATGCGAGTTTGGGCTTGCGATGTTTTCCATGTTTGCGTGTGCAGTTGCTTTCGAGCGCATGTCCGAAAACAACATCGAAACGACTGCAAATAACATCCTCGGATGTTGCTTGTAGGAAATGCTGTTATTTACTCTGAAGAGTTTAGTTCTGCAAGCTTGTTCCGTCTGGTTCAGCAAACCTACCTCACGTTCGGGCAGTACGCCTTCCGCGCACGTGAGAACACATGACCGTCCCTGAAACCTCCCACAATGCCCTAAACCTAAGGGTGTCAAGCTAAAACCTAGAGCCTAAGAGATGTTCGAAGTACAAACTCAGATTCTGCTCCGGAAGTACAGGTACACTTCATTCAGACTGCTATCCGACTGTGTTGGGTGTCCTTGTCCGCCCGCTACCACCCTCCCTCCCCGCCTCCTTCTCCCCCCCTGCGCTACCAACACCTGAAAACCTTAAGTAGAAGTATGAGGCATGAAAAACACGCAACAAGTAAGGCAGTAGATGGCAGACCTTTTGCCAAACTTTCTCTCTTGCTCACGGACGACACGGATCCCCTGCATGGCGTCGTCAATGTGTTGTTGTTTTTTTATTATTCCTTCCTCTCTCTCTCTCTCTCTCTCTCTCTCTCATCGAGATCATTGATACCGTTCGGAGGCTCGCGAGGCTTACAACGAAGTAAGGAAGCAGATGGCAGTAAGGTTGTAGTTGTGCTGTCATTCACAGCAAGTTTGCAACCGGGTGTTGCAAGTGACTAGGGTGCCAGATCTGCAAACAACTGCCCAAAACATAGCTCTCACGCCTACTTAAAAGTCTCGCACCTTCGCGCAATACATGTCAATACTCATTCTATCCCTGTCCACACCTAGTCTTCACCGCATTAATGCTGAGTCCTGCACGTCTGCTGGACTCGTTCGCGCCTTTGCGACACTTTTGTGCCCGTTTTGCGAACCCTTGTGCGACCCATGCGACCAGCGGCTTCAATGATTCATTCTTGATTGCCCTTCAAGGCTTTCAGTGAGTTAAGTGGTGTGACTTGGGTTGCAATACGCTTGTGTGCCTGGGCAGTTGAACACACTCCGTCCACATCAATGGGAAGGTAGGGCAATGGCGAGACGATGGACGCACCAAAGCGTTGGGCGCGCAAAGGTGTCTGTCGCCTCAGCCAGAACTGCGTGCATTAAACAATTCGGTTAAAGCGCCTTGTCTTCACCTGGCGCGGTCTCTTCCTGACGGTGCGTTTCTGCGTACGCAGCAAGAGAACAGCTTTTCAGGATGCTGAAAAACTATTTTTTGACACGTAAACCGTAAACTGCTGTAAATGTCTTGTTCCACATCCTTGTGCAGTCTGTTGTATAAAGAGGCGAAAACGCTGTATCCCTCCCCCAAACCCCCAACCCCCCCCCCCCCCAACAAACCCCCCCAAACAAACCAACCCCTCCAAACAAACCCCCCCAAACAAACCACCCCCCAAACAAACCCCCCCCACCCCAAACAAACCCCCCCCCCCCCACCCAAACAAACCACCCCCTAACAAACCACCCCCCCTTTCAAGGGGGGGGGGGGGGGTTTGGGGGGGGTTTGTTTGGGGTTGTTTGGGGGGTGGTTTGTTTGCGGGTGGTTGTTTGGGGGGTGGCTTGTTGGGGGGGTGGTTTGTTGGGGGGGGGGGGGGTTTTGGGGGGGGGGGTGGTTTGTTTCGGGGGTGGTGTTTTGGGGGGGTGGTTTGTTGGGGGGGTGGTTGGTTGGGGGGGGGTGGTTGTGTGGGGGAGTGGTTTGTTTGGGGGGTTGTTTGGGGGGGTTTTTTCCCCCCCCCCCCCCCCCCAACCAAACCCCCCCCCCTCCTCCACCCCCCCCCCCAAAACAACCCCCCCCCCCCCCCCCCCAAAGAACCCCCCAAACAAACCCCCAAACCAAAACCCCCCAAACACCCCCCCCACACAAACCCCCAAAAAAACCTCCACACAAACCCCCAACCAAACCCAAAAACAAAACCCAACCCCCCCACCCCCCCCAACCCCAAAACCCCCCCACCCAAACCCCCCACCCAACCCCCCACCCAAACGCCCCCACCCAAACCCCCCCCACCCAAGCCCCCCCACCCAAGCCCCCCCACCCAAGCCCCCCACCCAAGCCCCCCCACCCAAACCCCCAGGAAAGAACTAGTGAAATTACCTGAGTCTGACTGGTATAGGCTGCATAGGCACCAAATTGGAGTTGAAAGAGGGCCACCCAGAACCGAAACAAGTGCTGGATAGTCCCGGCAAAGCACGTGCTCACGAACATCACAAAAGACTGTCGCAATGACTTGAAAGATTTTGAAATTGCTGCATGCTCCTCAGGATCATGCGCAGGTGTAACTTCGCTGAAACTTGTGTCCTCAGCATGGGGAATGTGGAGAAGACAAGAGGCATCTCTGAAACGGCTGAGATTCGTGCTTGCTGTGTGCCTGCGCTCACATCTGCAAACGTCAGCACCTCGACACTGCTCTGTTACGCAGAAAGCAGCACTGGAAACATAGAAGTCTGAAGGATTCTGGGTTGCCGACCTCTGCTTGCCCTGAGTGGAAGAGCGAATCTTCCTTTGTACCATACAGACAAACGATCCCCAGTCACTTGAATGTTGTGTAACGAGACATTCAGGCCACACATGGCCACACGACATCAAGCAAAGTTCAGCTGCCGACAACGCGATCAATAATGCACTCCCAAAGCATGCTGTGAAATCGCCATGCAGTTGCAACTATGAGCCCTTTGAGCCAGGATACAGTAAGTCTGGGGAGGCATGGAAGACTGATGCTCTCTCCGAGCTGGTGGCCTAGAGCTCTGCAAAAACTCACATCGACTGACCGAGAAACATTGCAGCTGATGCTGTCTCAAGAAGCACTTTCCTGCCTCCGCTCTTCGCATGCCGACAGGTGTAGTATTGCTGTCGTAAGGACCTGAAACGAGAAATCTGCAACACTCTCTACGATGCTCTTTGTTCGTAGAGTGTGTCTAGAAGCTTCGGTATAGCAAGCAAGCGCAGCATCCAGATCCGAGCGGCAGACGGGGTCGGCAAGCGCTGTGGCGGAGCCCCATTCATCAGTCATGGCGTCAGCTCGAATGTCGGCCGCATCCCATAGCTAGCCCACTTTATCTGACTACAAGGTGAAAGAAAAGTACAACAATGCAGAAGCGCCGGTTGTCGGGGTGCTTATGCCATGCCGATGGGAACCCTAATGATTCGGAGCTCATGCTCATCATGGTGCTGTGAATCACGCCTCCAAGGCACATGCAAACACTGCCAAGGGGCCGTGAACTCGGTGCCTTCTTCTCCAACGCGACCGCCTGACCCAATCGATCTTGGCGGTCCTGCTGCAGTACTTCGATGTCTGTAGGGTGCCCTCGTCATGCTAGGCTCACTCCAGATCACTCCAGTAGCATCGGGTATCATGCAGGCACCTGCACCTTGCATGACAGTGTCACCCTCTGAGAGTGTCACCTACTTCCACTAGAGTCACTAGATGTCCGGACTGGCCATGGTGGGCGGAAGCGAGGCAGGGTGCTGTTTTAGAAGGCCATCAGCTGTGCCGACATGCGGTGGCAAAAGACTTCTCAACTTCTTTCGCTCTTGTCTTGCGCATTATGTGTAGCATAGGTCAAGTTGCTAAAAGGCAAGGGCCATTCACGCAGCTGACATGTGCTAAGCATCGCTAAGATCACGTCAGAAATAGTTAGACTCACGCTTCCCTTTCGTAAGCATAGCCTGCCATCGTGTTTGCGACAGTATGTGCACCCTGTTCCAAGTGTTCGTCTCAGCTTGTTGGAGCCGGGAACATGAAGGGGCCTGTTGATTTCAGCGTGGGCCAGATGGTCGGGCTGAGGATAGGCTGCACTGGGTTCGGGGACAATATCGCAACTTGCCAGATTCCCATTGCAACCCGGTGCTGCGAAAGCCGTGCCGACGTAGGATATTCACAACTTCTTCCAACAAAGTGAGATAGCCTGAAGAAATTCTATGATCTCAGCACACCGCAGAAATTCCCAGAATCAGTAGTATTCACGGTAAGCATCGGTAAGCAATATCTCGTATAGTACAGACTCCATCCGTCTTGACATCACCAACTCCCCTGAAGCAGCTTTCACTTTTGTGTCGTGACATTTGCCACGTGTCTGTGTGCAAAGCACGGGTAAGCCTGCAATCGTGTGCCTCTCTTCGCAGATAGACTAACGGCAGAGCATGCAGCGGTATGCAGCAGTTCTGCACGATGCGCAAAATAGCCCGTGGCTGTACCTCAAAATCTGAGCAGCGCAGCTGAAGCGAAATCATTAGCGTCCATGAGCAGCCTGATGTGCCTGAGGCCGATCGCATCTTGACTGCTGAGGATCTGCAACTGTGCTCTGCCCATGCCCAGATGACACTCCTGACTGTGGCCTTCGCTCATCCACTTCGGAACTTGCCCAGAATGTGTAGAGAGCATACAATGGCCATGAACACGAGAGAGAGCACCAGTACCTTGAAGCGTCGTGCACATTATGAAGAAACAAGGCTGCAGAGCACACGCATTGCAAAAACAGAAACCTGATGTTCCTTAGGATGCATCATGGAATCATAGCGATTCATGGTACGGGCTGCCCAGGACCCCAATTACCCAACGTACTCGAACCTACATGAAAAACTCTGGATGTCGGCCTACGTCGCGCGCTTTTCAATGTTCCCCGTCACTTTACAAGGGTTTTAAGGGGCGTCGCTTTTCCATGTTCCCCGTCGCTTTACAGTGTTTTTGACACTTCAGCATGCAAATGTCCTACCAAGATAAAACCCCAATTACCATAGTTTTGACCCTTGCTCACAAGTTGGAACACAGTCTCGCAACGGTCATCGGACATGTCAGAAGGGTGCGACTGCGGCTGTGAGGTTCCAGCGCCGCTAGGCATGCTGCCCTACATCCCCGAAAATGCTCGAGTACATATTCGAGCCTGTAAGCAGTTTGAACCTGAAATGGTTGATGGCGTTGTTTTGCATGTTCATCTTGTTAAAGTGTTGTTCGACAGGTTTCAGCAATTCGCAGCTGAGATTTCAAATGATGCTCCCATGCAAAGAACAAGCCCTGGCAGTTCGCAGCGTAGACGTATCTGGGGTAAGCAAAGTGTTTCATGTCCCACTAGTTCTAAGCCGTCTTTTCATGAAGACAGCCTTAAAAGTTTCGTCAACCTGTTTAAGCAAGGCTTGCCGATTGACGGAGGTGTTTGGGACGACGTCATGAGGGCTTATCCCAGATACGCTTATGCGCGTAAAGAAGTCATCATCACGAGTAGAATAGACCTTCACGTCGCGATGGAGGATATCTCATGGGGGAATACTATTAAGAACATCCCAGCCATGCGGCTTGTGTTAAACTTTGTTCTTACTTCCCAATGGTATTTTCCTGAAGGGCAATCTTCTACGCGACAGTCGTGGGTCGAACTAGTCTGCGAATTCGTCGCGAGGTATGGGTTCGTAGGTGGCTTTGTGACGAAAGGGATGCCCATGTCACGTATGACCCGTAAGTTGAAAACTTACGTTGTGAAAGTGTTCGAAGCAGCTGGACATCCCATTCAGACAGTGAGTCGAATATCCCATCTTCGTGATTTCTTTGGAGGCGATGTGGCCGGTTTGGTTGGCAGTATGAGATTAAACCATCCCAATCATGTTTGGGCAACGCTTATTTCTGCTGCGCTCGATCCTGGCAAAAGGCCTTGTGGGCAGCGACAAGCGAATGCCCGTTGGATTCCTGATTTCCTTTCCCCAGTCTGACTCTTGTTCTCTCCATCTCCCTCTTCATCGATCCTCAGACATGTGGCTAATTCAGCCACTTCGACGCTCGTGAGGCTTAGAAGTAAGTGTCGGTAAAAAAAAAAAAAAAAAAAAAAAAAAAAATATTCGAGCCTTTGCCCGACACCTTCCGTTCGAATTGCCCGACTCTCCTCGAATGTCTCCCGTCTTCCCCAGGACATCCCAGGACCATTTCACGTGATCACTTGCGTTTGAGGCTTGAATGGATTGAGGTCAACAGGTTCCGAAAGGGAGTCTCAGCTCGGCAAAAAGCATGCAAAAGCCTGCAGAAAAGCTGTGTATACTCAAAACTGCGATTGCAACTTCAAGGTCACGGTGGTCGGTCCGACTTTCAAGCCGGGAGCATCGTCTGAGTAGAACTTCAGGATTCCACCTGCAAGGTGGCGCTGTCACAGATTGCGAAAAGCCTCGCATTGCAATTCGCAAATGTACTTCTGACATTTCTGACGGCCCCGCAGAAGAGGAGAGCCGTTCGCCGAAGTTCAGAGCTCGATCGTCAAGATCGTCAAGGGGGGTGCGATGGGTGCGATGGGTGCGATGGGTGCGATGGGTGCGATGGGTGCGATGGGTGCGATGGGTGCGATGGGTGCGATGGGTGCGATGGGTGCGATGGGTGCGCCTCCGGCAGCTTTGCGCCCGCTGTTGGCGCCCTGAGTGGCTCCGCCGCCGGCCCTGGTCAATATTCAATGCTTGCAGAGTCTCTTGTCGATACCATCCTATATGCAGTTTCGCTCTCTAGAGTCAGCTTCCGCAAGGACGGGTCTGCCTGAATACGAACACTAACAACGTGCAGAGCTATTGCTGCGAGTGCAAGCCTGGCATTGGAGCGGCGCGCCAAAGCTGTTCTGGACTTGGTAGGGGATAGTAGTGCAAGTTTGCTTCAAACTTGAAAGCTCGACGCACATTCGATACAGCAGGACTGAAGAACACACTCTCTGTCCAAGGTACTCCCCCAACCGATGCAGCGGCTGAGCCACGTCCAGTGGATCCTCCAGCGTCTGCCATCCTGAAACGAAGTGACACGACCGCAACGAAACATCCGCACTGGTCTCTGGAGTGCGTCCGGATCTGAGAGAAGCGGCCTCCAAAATATCTGCTCCGACTTTGTCCTAGGGGAGGGGGGGCTGTCGAGCCAAAAAGCCACCGAGTAGCGAGCGTTGATTTCTGGCAATAAGCTCATTGCACTCTTTGTCTTCCAGCAGAACCCCTTTGCTCACATCGCACGCTGCACTTCTCCGGCGAAGTGCGTCTCAGGACCCAAGTATACCTCCAAAGAGGCTGCCATGATTCTTGGACTGCACAACGAATCTTGTACCCATGGTGGTCCAAGTCTTGGCCAACTACCTGTACCAGTGAAAGCTAGGGGTGTGTGGCCTTGAGGGGGGTGTAGGCTTGGTGGGGGGAGGACAGGGCAAGGCCGAAACTATGAAACTTGTTGTCAATGCTGTTGCAAGGTGACGTGCTGCGATGTTCTCGTAATGTTGCTATTGATGGTGATGCTGATGACCCGCTCGTCACCAATTTTGATGATGTGGTTGTTAATGCTGCTAGTGGTGGCGCCGGTGATGCTGTTAGTACTGCTGCTGCAAAACACATGTACCGCCGAAGGTAGCTTGCCAGGGCACCTCCGGCGGGCTACTGTGACACATCCTTTCTGCCTCGAACAGAATTTTAGGTCGTGACCATTCGTGCTGTATTTACAGAAACCTTCGTTGCTGTTGATGATGCAATGCTGCGCGGACCATGAAGAATCAACCAAGCGATCTGGTCCTAGCACTTGCTCAGCTTCCGCTGCTAGCGCATGTAGCAACGAAAGGCTGGTTCGACAACCAGAATCAGAAGAATAAAAATTTCTTCAGGGAACACCAAGTCAACAGGCTGAAACGTTTGGAAGTACGCATACTTCTTATTTTGGTGCCTGAGCTGAACATGGCCAAGGGATGCTGAAGTATGCTAAAGCATTGTTAAGCACAGAAGGGCACCACGCGATCCAAGAGCATGCGGCAGCTCTTCTCCAACCGCAAGGCCTTCGAATCTTCACTGCGCAAATCTCTATGAGGTGCACAAATGAGTCTCAGTGTATGTGGCATGGAGAAGTCCTGTTGAGTTTAACGGCCACACCTCTCCCAGCAAACGTCGGGCAGAGAGGTGACGCGTATCTGAAAACAGCAACATCATTAACTCCATGCTCCGTGAGGTATCGTGAGCACTAGACATGGTCGTGTACATGTGACGACGCTCAGGGCGGAACGATTGAGGCGAAGGCAGAGCCCTGAGAGTAGGCCATCCGCTGAGCGGCGCCACACCTCAGGGTCGCCAGCTGCATCGAGCCCCTGCATTTCAACCTATTTTCACTATCAGTTGCACCCGCTTTGAGGTGCTTACTCTGACGAAATCGCTTTCAGCTTCCGCTCGGGTCTCTGAGATGCTATCGCAGGCCCTTTCAGCCTGCACAAGACGAGTCCAAGTTCATCTTGCGACAACGTAGCAACCAAATTGGTAAACTGGGTGCACCTCACAAAGAAGAAGAAGAAGTAGTAGTAGTAGTAGTAGTCGTCGTCGTCATCGTGCGGACAGCAGCCACAGCAACAGCAGTAATAGTAGTGGTCGTCGTCGCCACCATGGTCGAAGTTGTAGCCGTAGTCGTCATAGATACCAGTACTAAGAATATGTCCAGCACTGACAGTATAAATCATCTAGTTACTGGCACCATGGATGCTATCATCGTGTGGGCATGGGTGCTCTGGCCGCTCGCACGCTCTCAGTCCCACGGAAATCCAGCGCCCAAACCCTCACCACCCTTATGTAGCGCTCTGCGACTTTGGCGCAGTTTCCAGGTTAGCCTTTTGCGGAAGGCCTCTCCTCTCCCGGCTGTGGGGGTCCGCGGCATTGGCGGTGGCAAGTCATAATACTAGTACTGATAAAGCCAGAATACAATTCGACAACTTACGAATCCGCGGTTCTAATTAATGCTCCCCTCCTCCCCTTTGCATTTGGAAATAGACACGAGGAATATTGGGGCAAAAACTGTGAGGGGGGGAGGGAGGGAGTGTTCCGCTTGCATCGTGTTCTTATTCTTGGCTTGTTATGCTCTTCTTCTTCTTCTTATTCTTCTTATTCTTCTTCCTTCTGCCCTTCATACTCTTGTATTCCTCTTCTCCTCTCCTGTTCCTCTCCTGTTCCTCTCCTGTTCCTCTCCTGTTCCTCTCCTGTTCCTCTCCTGTTCCTCTCCTGTTCCTCTCCTGTTCCTCTCCTGTTCCTCTCCTGTTCCTCTCCTGTTCCTCTCCTGTTCCTCTCCTGTTCCTCTCCTGTTCCTCTCCTGTTCCTCTCCTGTTCTCCTCCTGTTCTCCTCCTGTTCTCCTCCTCGCCTCCTCGCCTCCTCGCCTCCTCGCCTCCTCGCGTCCTGCTGCAGCCTCGAACTCCACAAAAACAAGACGCGCTTGCTGAACTACTTTACGCAACCTGACTTTGTTTTGTTTTGCTGTCGGGGGGGGGGGGGTTATGCAGGGCTTTTCCACAAGGGTCTCATTGTGAGCACGGGCTGGCCGAAGAGCAACACAGAATCGTTTCCCGAGTCGTTAGGATGACCAATGTCTGGCCCTAGATTGGGGCCTCGGAGGGGCACTGAGAAGATATATATACTAACTAAATACATGAATTATACGAATAATATTATTGCGCGCGCAGAATAGCATCGCTGCGAAAGAATACTAAGAAGAATACGCAGCAGAAGAACACTAACCCTAAACTTACTTTCATATTCATCATACGAATGATACTATCATATTGACGAAGCTACCCCTACTCCTGCCAAGCATTACCAATCATAGCACTCCATTAACTACACAAATCATACCAAGCGAGTACTCCTACGAGAACTAGAATAGTCTGTATAGTCTGTACAATACTAAAAGAGTAGGCCTCGCGGAGCCAGCTGGCAAGCAGTACGATCGCGACATGGGAGAGATGCAGATGAACATCCTGCAAGCTCAATGACAAGGGCAAGCTTGACTCTAAGCACTGTGCATCCTTTTTATGAGGTCTTGATTGGCATTCCGCAGAGGTCCTCCTGGCCAGGCCAGGCCCATTTTCTGGCGCGTGAATAGGCAGATGTCTCCTGTGCATACTGGGGGTTGCGCCGTTCTACGCTGTTCTGCGAAGTGCAGCAAACTGCGAAAGCCTGCAAGTCTGCGTGCCAGGCATCAAGCTGCGCTATCATGTCTGCCTCAGAGTCCCAACTCGCAAAGCAAGGAAAGCAGCCGCAAAGCTGAGCACAGCTACAGATCTCCTCTGTTGAGTTGCATAAAAGGTGACCAGGTCCGGGAGGGAAAAGGAGAAGGGCTTCTGCATCAGAACCTCCAAGGCCACCTCAGCTTCTTGGCGTATGCGTGATTGTGGAGTTTTTTATCGACTGTGATTCTGTGATGAATCTTCGACTTGGCTTCTCCTTAAAGAGGCAGGTGACCCACAGCCGACTCTCATCGATCAGTGGCGAGCCAGCAGCTCCATCAGCTCCTGCCGGATCCCACAAAGCCACACAAGGAAGGCCCTGTGTGCCTGCAATGTCTCAGTCAGAATTGTGATCAGGTTTGGCATGACGACTCACTGGGCGCAAACGACATCTACATGCGATGTTTCTTCTCCGGCGGTCCGCTCTCCGAGGGTTCGGCTTCATCCATCTTCAACTGCAACAACATGCCAGAATGCTCACAGATGCTCACATCTAATTGGAAACACGCAACCGCGACCGGATGCTCGCTGCACCAATTCTGCGCTGCTGCAACTGCTGATTGCACTGTCACCACGAAACATTCCAGCGACAACAGTCGGAGCATGGCCTTCTGCAAAGCATTTAGCCACAAGCAACTGCTGAACTCCAGGAGGGTTGCAATCTCAGAACAGCAAATCTAGCACCGCATAACTGCCACATACCTACACAATGGACTCTTGTCTTGCAGCACTGCCAAGTCATGGGATTGGTCTGCCTGGGCATGCCTGGGCTCACTGCTCCCCGCACATGCCACAGCTGATGGCTGGCAGGAGCCACCTGCTGCGCCCAAAGTTTGCGCATGTCTAGAAGAAGCATCAGCAGCCGCTAGCCAGGTCAGCACGCTTTCAAATCACATCTCACCAAGACGGTCACAACTTCAGCAGGGACGATAGTTTCGGCATGCTTCGGCTGGCCTCCCTGAGCTCTTGAAGGAACGACAGCACTCGATCGCGGAGAAGCGACGGCTTCAAAGGCTCGGCTTGATCCTTGCAAAACCACCGATGCCCCAGTCATCCCCAGCCGGTCCAGAGGGGCAGACATGGCGTGATAGTCGGAGAATGCCACCACCACTGAAGATGGTGACAGAATGAATCAAAATGCACCAGCCTGCTTCTCCAAAAGAAGCTGTCGTGGCCGCAGCAGCAAGGGGAAGAGCAACTTGGGCGTTGCAGCCGCATCCACCTATGTATCCACGCTACTTTGCTGATCTTTGCTAAACGCAGCCGAATACCTCAAGTCACACACACCCACGCAGACTATACAGACTGTGATTCCTTGCGCAGGCAGAATCCCATGCGTCCTCGTCGCTGTGGGAGCTGTAGGGCCCGTCAGGCGGCGGAAAAAGCAAGCCGGCCCACCTTTGTTTGGGTTTGGGGACTGAACTTGTGAGCCAACAAACCGTAGCAATTGCCACCGCATGTTGGTTGGACTACAATCGTCTGCAGTAAAATATGCTACACAACTGCGGTACTGAGCGCAATACCAACGCGATGTGCTGTGCTGTCATGGAAACAATGTGGACCAAAATGACCATACACTCCAATGTTCAACACGCTGATAGCCTTGCTATGGCCAGAACATGCCAAAATTGAAGTTGTGCTGGCAACTGCTTCCGGCGTACGTGTCTGTGAGAAGACTGTCCACACGGTACGGGCTTGGACGGGGTGCCACGCCGGTTCTAATTCCTCAATATGTCGGAGGCTGTCGTAGACCCAGAGGGCATCTTCACGTGTCAGTCTGTGGGCCACACAATGTTGTCGCCACATCATGGGCCATTTTCACACCTCCATTCTACCAACTGATGCATGATACAACGGTACAAGTACCAAACTGGCACTAGTCGTTGCCCCAGTCCTGCTGCTGAATACCATCCCGCCTGAAAAGCCAGCAATGCCCAGTTGCAGGTGCCAAAGACCGAATTCCCCAGCCACCTGACAGGATTCTCAGAAGCTTGAGCACGAGCCATTCGCTTAAAACATTGTCTCAGCATGAAGCGAATGCAGTGCTCATGAAACCAACCCATACCAACCCCAACTCAAAAGGAACTTCACTCACACGGTGACACGCATTGTCCGCAGCCTCATAGAGCTCACGAGCGCTCCGCAGCTGCTGCAATTCCGCACAGCGCTTGTGGGCAGCCTCCCGCCACCTGAACAGCATGGCACGATGAACTGAGTGGCGAAGTACTGGCGACGATAAACGCAGCCTGGTATCTAGGTCCTCGTTTCCAGCGATGTCAAGCAACTCCTCTTGCAAACTGCATTGCGCAGACAGACTGTTCCATCGAATGGTGCAACCGACTCACACTAGAAGAAACTTTGCCCGTTGCCAGCCCACGCTGCAACCCCCCAGCAAACAATGTCGGGACCGTCAGACCGTCAGCTGTCACAGCTGCATTGCTGCTCAGTGCTGAGGCTGAATGACTTCCCCATCTTTCCCGATGAAGCTAGAAACCTCATGGGCCGAGCATCGATTTGATTGCCCCGTTGGCATTGGCTGCCGTGCTGTTCGTTGTCTCTGCGCTGGCGAAACATTTTCTTTCGCCTTGTTTTAAAGCTTGTCCGCCACCCTCCCCCCCCGCTCTTTGAACTGAGTTTAAAACGGCCGAGTATGTCGATTACAAGAAGCTATACTGCTCCGTGCCACAGCGTAGCTAGTGGCAGCAAGTGCAACAATGCGCTTTTCCTTTGTGATTCCTTCGAAGTGTGGCCGTTGACTCTTGGCCTGCATTGGGCCCGGGGTTGCAAAGCCTCTGCAGCATGTTCTGGCGTTTTCGGCAGCCACGCATTTCAGGCTGGGAACTTTTTTTGCTGGCCGAGCACAAGCAGTACTTGGTCTCCTTCCCCACTTCCAAATCCCACACCACTGACCAACTCCCATCAAAGCTGTCAAATGTGGGAGGGGTGCGTCCCACAGGCAGTGAATCAAACACGTGAAAAATGGCCAAATAGCGTGGAAAATGGGGACCTCAGACCTCCGCTCGAACCCCCAACGACCTGCACAGCGTAGCCACTGTGCACTCTGTTGCTGCCTCCTTGACTTCACTTGGCAGCCACCACTGCGCTGACGGTTCCGCACAGGGCTTCCAGCTCCAACAAGCCTGCAAATCTGTCCCCCCAAGCTCACCTATATGCTGCGGGTTCAAGGTTTCGGGTTCACCGTCTTCTTACCGCATTCGCATTCCGTATCTGCAGCCCGACCGAGGGGACTGGAAACTCCAAGATGCGCTGCTTGGACCGCCGACGCGCACGTCCCGCGGGTTGGGCCAGCCCTACTACTCAGGCGGCATGCGCAAGCGTTTACGACTGCGTCATTGGTGGACGCGCCGGGTCAAGCGCGCCGCAAATTTTTTCAGGGGCGTTGATGCATGTTGACGCATGCTGCGGGCTGCGATGCGCTGCTCTGCCTTCCTATGCCGCTATGCAGCCATGCCGCTATGCCGCCATGCCTTCTTCACGCACGCTGAGACAGGTGCAAGAATTTGTTGTGACGTGGCCGGGCTGCTTGTTTTTTTACTGCGCGGGCACCTCTTCCGGCATCTTGGCAGATGGCACACGCAGCTCTTTCCGCCCGGCACATCCCGGTGTGCACTTCGTACCCTTGCCAGACTGCCGACACGTGCAATCAAATGGTAAACCTAAGTCAGGCCAAGCTTACTCAGGTCCTGGAGCAAGGGCAGCTGAAGCTTTTCAGCCTCATCCAACATCTCAGTGACTGAACGCGAGGCCGCGAGGGGACCATCAGCAACCAGCGCCGACGTTTTTGCTTGCTCTGGGCAGAGTACCGCCCTCAGCCTCAACGCAAGCTCGTCTTGCAAAGAAGCAGAGCTCGCATTTTTCCGCTGTTCCTGCAGACATCTGTGATAAGCGGTCATCATGCAACTGTATAGTGACCACAGTGCTGTTCGATACTTCCACATGGCCTGCGCGAGGTGCAGATATCTGATGCGGTCTTTCAAGCTGTAGAACTGCCCAGCGACGCGTACCACAACGATGCAAAGTAGCAGCACGAAGTCTTGCGGTCGTTCCATCAGATTAAGCATCCTTCAGCATCCTGATACAAAAAGACCTTCAACCCTCTTGTTTCGTAAAGTGATTGGGGATGACATCGTCTGGTGCGGATGCGCTTATGACGAAAAAACCATGAGGCAGCAGTTTGCAATGTGCTGGTTGAGCTTTGCTATGAAACCCTTGTAACCGCCACGCCGATGATTCAGTTGGGTGATCATGTGTGCAGGCCTCTCAAGCTTGTTCCATCTTGTTCCGCAACAGACTAGAACAGTCGAAATTCCCCATGGCGTCAGGAGCCGCTGTTAGAAACTGTTGCGAAGCACGTGCTCAAAAACTATGGGACAACAATCACCCAACAGAGAGACAAACTCGAAGGAAAGTGAAGATCCAGCCACGAATGTGAAAATGATGCAAGAATGCATTCCAGAATGATTGCTAGTCCAAGGAAAGGAGGGACAGGCGAATACTCCAATTCAAGAATTGTAGAGATGACAGAAAGATCAGAAAGAGGCACCGAAGGGACAGGTATGACGGCAAGAAGAAACACACAATGACACAGCAATACGGCACATGGCACATTCCTCCGCAAAAACAGCCTTGCCGGCGCCACTGGGTTCTTGCGCCTGCTCGGGAGCCTCCACCAAACGCTGCAGCTGCGCCCACACAGGGCGCTCGTGCCGCTCGTGGCCCCGGCGCTGATGGAAGTATCTCTCAGTTCGTAGAGTTCGTCTGATTTCCCTGAATTTCACTGAACCATACTGATGCCTCAACAGAAGCTCTGATGCCACTCGGCTGTTTGCGGAGCGCCGCTGCAGCAATGCCTCGAAACTCTGCATCAAGTCACCAAGTCACCGAGTGCCCTTCCCTGCCGGCAAACAACTGTCGCATATTGTCGCCTTAATGTTGGTGGCATCCGTGCTCAGGATCGCCTCCAAGAGGCCGTGCAGCCGCGGCACGCTCAGCCTCAGACATGGGCGATCTACACGAAACACCACGAAACAACCACATCGAGACGATCTGTCGTCTCCGAGCGTCCTCTGCAGCAGATTGACATGTTCTGAGCACAGAACAGATGATCGAATACGATGTGATGAGAGACGGGCTAGCAGAAGCACACGTCAGATGTACATCACAACGACAACTGGACCACAGGCCATCGCCTCCGTGTCACAGACTGCGTTCCAGTGATTGACTGCACGGGTCCTCACAGTTCACTGGCTCCACAGCCAAAGTTCGGGGGGCAATGTTGCACCGACATTGCACAGGACACAAAACTGATCAAATAAACATGAGATCGGAAACGTTGCCGATGCATGCTTAAACGATCCAGCTGCTGGCGCCCTCCGACTGTGTCTAGAGATGTTGTTTCGGGAACCTCGGGGCTGCGCCTGCATGCACGCCCAAGCTTTCAAAAGATTGCGTGGTACTGTTCTCCACCCATGGCTTGACAACGTTCTTGCCCGAGAACGAGAATCTGGAGTCGCTTTCCTGACAGCCTTGGCTCCTTTCGCTGGGGTATGTCGCGGTGTCCCACCCCCCTATTAACTGTTACGCATGTTGTCATGCAACATGTCGGTCTTCGTTGATATCATGATCACGCCAAACAGGCCCATGTTTAGTCGGTCCACGAAATGCACTGGATGTGTCGGGCAAGACCCTCTGACGGCAAACAATGTGGAACTCATTTCGATCATGAAGGCTTAGCTCCTGTTGAATCTTGGGTGCAAGTTTCTAACTCACTTGGGATGTGCGATTGGCCCCCCTCACGGTGTGGCGAACGAGAGCGCAGTCTGGAACACACACTAACACCTCACCAACCTGCCCACGTCACAACGTACGCAGCAACACTTCGGTCTTAAACCTGCCAACTGTCTGCCGGTTCACAAAATGCATTAGCGAACCTCCTACAGACACTGTCGCCCCCACTTCGTTGTGGACTCACACGGAGAAGACGAGTGAAAACAAACAAACAGTAAGGCCAACATGGCCGATCCAAGTGTTGGTTTCTGTCAAGATGTTAAGTCTTGGGGCAGCGGGTCTTCAAAGGTCTAATCAAAGCAGGCCTTCTTAGGAAACTCTCCAGTGCTTCAGCTGCCGCTTCTGGATTTTCCAGGCCTTGTGAGAAGTCAATTGCTGACTGATGCTTGACTAACCTCGATGACCTGCCTCGGGTATACTCCTCGGTCTGTGGTCGGAGCTCATTGCATCCAACAGCGAGGAGATGAGACCACGGCAGCACTCTTCATCCTCCGTTGCTGAACAGCAGCAGCTGTCCTACACATTGTTGCCCCTGGTCTGAAGGAGATGAGCGCGAAACCACCCGGGACGACAGTTTGCACACCCGTTCCGCACAAAGCTCGGCAGCCATGGCCGGCGCCTGCGCTTTTTTCGCATACAGTGAACAGTAAGGCGCCGAAGCTTCTGAGCAAGCCGGCATTTTGGGAGCGCGCCTCTGAGGCTAAAGCCCGGATTCCTCGACATAGGAGATGCCACTCCAAAGAAGTGGTTGCCGAGGGCAGGGAGTCTGCGTACCTGTGTGTGCTCAAGACACATGCTTAAACTGTGTCACAAGAGTGTCTTCAGAAATAAACCCAGATTTTCAAAAAGATTGCCTTCTTAGCACGGAGCGAGTCTCCATAGATCTAGGCCTTTGCATCAAGAATGTGCCGGCAGTGCTGTCCATGCACTTGACTCATAGCACTGTACATCCTCCAGCACATCACTGAACAAGGGCATGATTCCTGATGCCCACTTGCCTTCAGCAACTGTTTTACGAGTAGGAATGGCAAGTCAAGAATTGGGGCCAATTTCATGCATGCCAAATATGCTGAAGGTTCGCAACAATGGCATGTGCGGGTTTCACTGATGGCTTGCCAATGTGGTTTTGACAAGAGACCAGGATTCACTGTCGGAAAAATACAAGGTCAGCAGCACGAAATTCCCAAAAATGCAAGCACATCGCTGCCTTCATGTCAAAATCTGATGCAACACCACAAGAAACACAGCATGGCAATGATCGTGCGAACACGGATGTGGAACAACAATGAGCTCACACGTCGAAACCACAGTTCTGCAGTTATGCAAAGTTAAGCTCCGGCCATGGCCATATGGGGACTTCCATCGCTCTCAGACAGGTCAGTTAAAACGCGGTAGCTCGAGATCATTCTGGGACACGCCAAGGGAGATTTAGTTTCTCACCTCCACTCCACAAAGCGGCCCAAAGCGGGCTACGATATGGTAAAGCTACATGCTATGTTTGGTGAATTTAGTGGATGGGTAAGTCATATCGGAAATGCCACGCCACGCCACGCCACGCAACGCAACGCAACGCAACGCTATAACTACCCGCCTTGCTACCTGTTAACGCCACCAAGATTCAGACAATCATGCTAGCGACACCTAATGTGTGGGTGTGTGTGTGTGGGTGCGTGGGTGCATGGGTGCGTCGTGGGATGACGTGGGTGCGTGGGCGCGTGGGTGCGCAGGTGCGTGGGTGCGTGGGTGCACAGGTGCGTGGGTGCGTGGGTGCGTGGGTGCGTGGGTGCGTGGGTGCGTGGGTGCGTGGGTGCGTGGGTGGGTGGGTGCATGGGTGGGTGGGTGGGTGGGTGCGTGCGTACATGCGGGCGTGCGTGCATGCGGGGGTGGGCGCTTGCGTGCTTGTGTGCTTGGTTTGGTTTTGTTGGTTTTATGGTTGGCTCTTTTTGTTCGTCTTTTTTTGCTTGGCGGTTTGGGACCCCCTGTCGGCTTGTTGGGCCCTCGAATTGAAGATGTCTCCATCAGTTCGTGTCTGTGCATGATTATTCATTTGTAGTTACTCCATTGGCTCACTTCACGCAAGACTTTCCATGTACGATAGAAGAAGCGCACAGAACCAAGCCATGCAGAAAACAAAAGGTCAAGCAAGGGAAAAGCGCAGGAACGACACAAGCATAGATGAAAAGACAACAGCAGGACTGGCGCCAAACGCAAGCACTAGATAGCACGAGGAGTTGGGCCATCACAGGTTATGCTCTTGTCTCTCGTTCGTTGAATAGCCGGTTGCCGCATAGATCCACCAACCAATGAGAATTTACGTTGTTGAAGGAGCATCAGTGACAAAGTGGTAATGGTTCCTCAAAGGCTGGTCTGTGAGTTTGCTGGCAGCAAGCTTTTCACTCGCGGGAAGGGGTAAGATTTCTGCTAGATGGCTGCGTGCTGAGAGCAAAACTGCCCGTCAGCGTCTCTGACGCAACGCTTGAGATCGACCTGAAGATGAAACACCACTCCCCTACACATCGTTCAGCAAAAGCTCGTTATGCAGGCTTCAAAACATGAGACAAGGCTGAGCCTGAGAGAAGATGGCTGGGCAGCAGTCCTTCAGCATGGCCCAATGCCAAGACACGAGCACTTATTTCACATGATTTCACATAATTTCACCGCTACATGAAGCACGTCCAGGCACCTGTCACCGGTAGAACTTTTGCAAACAGCTCTTGGCTCGAGCGTCTGGCACCAGGAATTGTTAAACGATTTTGTGGGCAGGCTGCAGCATCGGCAATGTCGAGCCCTGCTTGCGAGACCGTGCAAGCTGCTGAGGTCTCTAATCGATTGATCATCCGCACACTGACGTCAGGGAGGAAAATAACACAACGTGGGCTCTGCGCATCGGCAAGAACCAACACAGCGCGTTAGCTGTCACTAGCTGTTCACGACACAGCCCCTTTCCGCGATGTCCGAAGAAGGCCACTCAATCCCAAGTTTGGTGGCTTCTTCAAGCAACTCGACCAGAAACTGGGTGGCATCACCCCTGACTTGACCCACCTGCAGCTTGGACAGCTGATGCGTGGCTGAAATACGTAGTCGTATACCCTGATTCGGGAAAGCTTCCATGCCAACGACGACGGCGGCTCCAGGCTGGTTTGTCGGAAACACCCCAACGGATACTTGTTCTTGCCATGTCTCTGGATGTGCCATCGCATATCGCCGCGCTGCTGCAGTCAACGCTTTGAGGTTCTGCTTTGTAGCATGTTTTGGTGGAATCAGAAGCTCTATGGCTGCAGATGCGCGCCCAGATCTTCGAATATTGAGAATACCCTCGCAGTCAGCATACAAAACAGAGTTGCGGATGTAGATCTCCTGGCGGAACAGATCAGGGAAGGCGCTTGTGAAAGATCACGCGCTGATGCAATTCAGCTAAGATGGCATTCATGTCCTCATGGCTTGGGATGATTCGAGATACTTGTATGGCCATGCCATGTTCGAGATGTCCACTGTCAGGTGAATGATGGGGGCCCAAATTCTGGTGGATTTCCTGAGCCTCCTTTTTGGCAAACATTCAAAGGGGATTGTGATTCTGAAACGGCGACAACAACCCAAAGTGTATATTTGCTGGGCATGCCCATTCTACTAAAACTAGAAGTTCCAAGGAGGAGAAGCAGATTGGTCACAACACAGCAAGCTCAATCCACTTTTTCTGGATGGAAACCTAGGTTCAGCTTGTCTTTCTAGCAACCGCTCTATGACCGCTATATTCGTCGGGACAATCGCCGGCCTGACATGCCTGCGGGCCGCTATATGGCCATCTGTTTTGCGTGGCCTGACAGGCCTGCTGGCCACTATCTGGCCACTGTTTTGCGGTGCTATCGCTTGTTGGCCACTGCGTTGTGGTGCAATCGCCGGCCGCGAAATGGCAGCCATCCTGCTCAGAGCAGTCCTCGTTCCTGTCCGGCGGCTATTTTTCGGCATAATCGCCGGCATGAGAGGCCAGCTGGCCGCGGCTATCTGCCCTGTCTGTCCAGTGTCCTGTCCTGCTATCTGTCCTCCTCATATCTGTCCTAGTCCAGCCGTATCTCCTGTCATGTCCTCCTATCGCGCAGAATGGTAGTATAGATGTTGTTGTCCGCCACAGACTGTGGTGGGCATAGTCGTCCCGAAAATCTAACAGCCTCACTGAGGGTTGAGAATAACGACAACAACGACGACGACCAACGACGACAACGACACAGCAACAGCAACAGCAACAGCAACAGCAACAGCAACAGCAACAGCAACAGCAACAGCTACAGCTACAGCTACAGCTACAGCTACAGCTACAGCTACAGCAACAGCAACAGCAACAGCAACAACACAAACAGTAATTGTAACAAACAAGGACTCCATCCAGGACAGGGACAAATGTCATAATAAGACTGTGATGCGCCTCGTCGTACAAATCACGGAAGACGGTGTTGAGCAGCTTGATCTGCTGCACTTGTAAGAAGTTCCCACGGAAGATGATCATATCACCAGTGTCAAACGCGTTCACATGCAAGAGAAGAACAAGTGATTGCAAGACGTCCAGTAGAACTGGACCCCAGGCGAATGAGACAGCCAGAAGCACCTGAGAAGAAAGAGAGAGAGAGAGAGGGGCTTTCGCGTGCAGAATTAGGATCTGCTCTTCATATGCGAAACCAAAAACCAGCAGACGTTGCCACTGACATGGCCTGACACACTAGTGACTAGTGGGGTTTTTCTTTTCTCTCAACACGACTCAACACGACCGGGTCACGGAGGAGAGGAGCCAACTCAAGGTGTGAAGCACCGACATCGGCGCAAAGCGTCCGATGGCAACCACCAGGAGGAGTGACAGGCGAATGAGGCTCAGCACGCTGCAGAAGAGCCTCAAATCTCGAAATCTCGGGTTGGCAAGCATAGCAGGCATAGCATGCTGCAAATTGCTGTTCGGTCCTCTTGTTTGTTTTCGACAGCCGCACATCTCATTTAGCCTTGTTACGCAAAGACAGCCGAGTGCTCGCCGACAGTGGATACCAGTCTGGCAGCCTCTTTGTAGGTGGACACGGCCAGCTGCACAAATGCATCCTCCAATGCTTCAACTTCTGCTTCAGAATAATTCCGGCCAACATTCCGGTGCACACTCTCTGCTGCCCGACGGCTTTTGCATGTGTTCATGCAATGAAACCCATGCGGCATGCAGACACGGATCAATTCCGACTGTCTGATCAATGTGTCCGGAGGACTTTGTCTTCTTCAGCTTCCGAGTGCGAGCTTTGGGCTCTGCACCCATGCTCTCCTTGGCAGAGCAATCGCCGGCACGCTGCTCCCCTCGCAGACTGTCGACCCATGAGGTAGCCCAAAGCAGCTAGAAGATACTGCATACTCTGCGCTTGTGGAACCATCGCGTACGACAACATGCCCGGCCGGAAATGCGGCTAATCTATCTTCTAAAGCAAAAACTACTACAACTAAATGACAAGCCACGGCGAAGACATCCGTTGACGGTCAGCCGAATATGCAGTCAGGGTTCAGACCCATCCAGAGGCAGGGAATTGGATCTCTCCATAAGCTTGCCATCTGTCTTCAATGTTTTTTCCTAGCAGTTCCGCAGTTGCATGCAGCATTATGTCGCCGGCAACAAAAATGTCCAAACCGATCTGTTAGGTCGATCATTTTGAAAACCGTCTGCTGCTGCCGGTCAGTCAAGCTGAGTCAAGCTACTGAGCTCTCATCCAGCGCTTGAAGCAATGCCCAGAAGCGATCTGTTTCCTTGGCCGCATTTCGCAAACCATTGAGCGGCGCCCGGTAAGCTTGCCCAGCTGTCAGTCTCTCGACTACTAGGCTACTAATTGGAAGGATCATGACAGGACTTAGTATCTAGGACATCCTCAGGCTGGATCTGTTTTGTGCCAGCGATTGCGATCCTTGGTTTGATTCCTCTGCTGCAACATGTTGCCTGCTCGTAAGCTCCTGTCGACGGCGCCGGTCGGTCATGTGGAGCTGAGGCGGACAGTACTTAAGTAAAGCTATTGCTGAACAGGACGAACACGAATTGTGTAGATTATCAGGAAAACAATGGGTACACAGCCTGCCCTGTGCCCAATGAGCATATTGCGTTGCAGCGGCGGCTTCGTTCTTGATCATGGCATGCAACCTTTTCGCAGCAAAACAGCAGTAGTCAACGTTCGCGACACTTGGGCTTGGGGCTGCTTTACCTTTCTCTACATTTCGACCTTGCACAAAGAATCAACAGCACAAAATGAAGCTTACAACAGTTTACCATATTGTCGTTGCGAATGCGTCGGCAACATGACGTAATGTACAGTCCTGGTTGTGGCCAAAGGCACTTATCATAGTTCAGCCGCCCATGGGGCGTCAGTCGTCGATACAATGCGCGGGCACCAAGGGCCACGCGCCTCGCTGGGCAGCATTCAAACAAGCCCTGGACGGCGTCTAAGTAAACTGAGTAAACGCTCCCCCTGCATATCTAATCCCGCCGGCTGAGAATTCACCTCGGCCTCCGGCCGACCAGGATCTGGATGCCCCTCTCTGGACACACGCCGTGCGCAAAAACCCCTGCCACCTTGCACCCCCCTTGAAACCTCCCCTTTCTCCCAGCCCCGCGGACCTTGCAGACCTCCCTCGGACCTGCCCGCCTTGTCACCCTCCTGAAACCACCCTGAACCCACCAAGCGACATATGACTTTCGCTCCTTCGTCCGCGATTGGCTCGCCACAACCCGCGTTGGGCAACCCGGTTGCCGAGGCGCCGTGCGCAAGCGTTTACAATTGTCACATAGTATTAGGGATTATCAAGCAACAAAGGAGGGAATCGAGCAAGACATGACGCAACGGAACCAGGGTCCAAGTTGAAAGCAGGATCGGCATCTGACCCCTCAAGAGCTTTGCCGCCCAGGGCATGACGGCAGTGGCTGCAGCCAAACGGCTCCGGCTCTAATGCCATGCCATCGACATGCTGAGAACCTCATGTCGGAGCAGCGCGAGCGAAAGTGCTCGACGCGTTGCCAAAAATAGGTCAGAAGTATCAGTTATCGAGCCCTCTGTTGGTTTCTGTGGAATCCTTCCGAGGCGCTGGAGTTGCTGACCTCGCGCTTCAATCCGTACAACTCTCCGTCGTCGGTGTCTTCATCACTCTCCTCAACTTTAGGCTCCTATACGGTCTATACCTAGGACTCACGGGACCGGACTGTGACAGGGGCACACTCCCTTCACGCTGTCCTCTTCTCCTGCCAATGAAGCCAAGCTCACCCAAAGCTCACAGCCTCCGAACCACACAAGCGATCAGGTCAAACGACAAGAGGTGACCGCCCACAAACAGCCGCAGCCTCTGAACGTGCTTCTGCACTCAGAAAAACTTGGAACTGCTCTTCAGGGTCTCTGCCATGCTTTCTCTCACATCTACATCCGTCTACATCCGTCTACATCCGTCTACATCCGTCTACCGAGTCTACAAACCTGTTTCCGGCCTGGGCTGCCAGAAGCGATGAGCTCTGCGCAGGCGCGCTCAAAGGCCAGCGGCACGGAGTCGTCCAAGTCCAGCAAAGACTTCTCGATCTTTTCGTCGGGCTTCTCAGGAAAAGTGAACGAAAAGAAAGCTGCACATGCCCGCTGCCACCGCTGCAGTTAGATTATGTGCTCAAATCGTGTTTATACCCATTCAAGGCCGCGCCTCTTCATTGCTTGCCCTTTCCACGCCGCCCCTGAAGCTGGCATATCACAACAAATTAGGCGTCTGCAAGCCTCTAGCAACTGGCAAACGGCAAGTCTACTACTGTGGCAAAACACTACCGATTAGACCATGATAATCCATCCAGCCACACAGAGAGTTTTGGATTCCTAGGGCTTGAGACCTTGGAGCTCACAATGGCTCGCAGTCTACCACTTAGAGCTTTCAAAGAAATGAACTGGTTGAGCTGGCAACCTGCTTAAGTAGGGTCAAACGATGCTTGGTTTCTTGGGGATTGGCGCTGTCAATTCTTGAAGGCTTCATTTTCTGGGGGGGGGGGGGGGGGGGGGGATGTGGCCATAAAGTAATCCACACCCATCTGTGTCCCAACACTCTGCACCGAACTTCGATCCGAATGGAGAAGATGCGACTCTTCAAGCTCAAAAAACTTCTGGAACAGAAGAAGTTTACAATGGTTGCCACATGTTGCCACGCGTTGACAAATACCGGCACTTGAAGCTATCGGGAGCAGCAGGAACTGACGAAATGGTGGACAAGCTCAGCGAGCCGGTTGGCAAGGCACGAAGCCGTTCCCACATGAAATGCGGATTTCCAGCAACAGCGAGGATGAGTTGAAGATGGCCGGCGAGTAACGCACAGCTACCTAGTCTCCCTACCCTGCAGGAATCCTCCCCCATAGCTGCCATCCTCGCCTCCCCTCCCTCAGCAGCAGCATCATCAGCAGCAGCATCATCAGCAGCAGCGCCATCAGCAAAAGCACACCGCTACTACCACAACTACCATCCCCATCGTCATTGCCGTCATCAGCAGCAGCGTCACATACACGATAGAGTCATGAAAACTCAGTGCTGGGCCTGAGAACTGCAAGCACCCGTCGCTCACGGGTATTCTGCCATAATTCCAGCCGCTGTGTGGCGAGAATCCTGCTACTATACCTGCGAGCTAAGACTCAGATTTCATTGTTTTCCAATTGCACTCAACAACGTCAGGGCAAAAGGCACTCACAACAGAGAGAGAGAGAGAGAGGCACACAGACCAATGCATGCTATCAGTGCTTCAGACGGTCACATGGTGGGAAAATGCAGAATACAACTGCTGGGTGAAGAGTCAAGAGCATTCTGAGCATTTGGCTCAGCATTTGGCAAAAGAAGTGCTGTACAGCCTAAACCCAAGATCCGACTCTGTCAGTATTTCAGGGCAGTGGAAGGCAGTCACTGAGAGAGGAGAGTGAGGGGGCACAGGAGCTCGGCCGCGGTCTCACCGGCGCGCAGCACGCGAGCCAGCAGGAGCAGCAGGATCGCGTCGCGGAGTGCCGGCACCCAGGACAGCCAAAGAACCCTCAGAGATGCTATCTCAAGATGACGTCGCGCACAGCCGTCTTTACAGATCTCTACACTAGTCGGGAAAGATTGACGTAACAGCCTCTACCATTGTGACACAAAAAGTGTATTATCTGCTGATATCTGCTGGGAGTTGATCTGCCTCTCACACGCTATTCGGTTCTCCTGGTCACGGGACGTCGCAACCCTTCTTGTCACCTTCAACAAGGGGCTCTGTGGATTAATCGACCTTGCAGTGCACTACTAGCGCCGCTCTCATTCGTCGTTTCTGAGCATCTTGAGCGTCCACTGAGCAACAGAACGAAGCAACTTCCCGAGGCCAGATCTTCCCTTATCTTGTTGTCCTTTGAAGCCTTTGCTCAGTCTTGATAAGATCCTTTGTATGTCTGAAGCATGCTGTAGCACATGGTGTGGTGTGGTGCGATGCGGTGTGGTGTGGTGTGGTGCGGTGCCAAGAAGCTGAACATCCTGAGCGCTTCCTCGGCACACCGCTGCAACAGTCTTCTCATCGCTGCATCATACTGATCATGTCATACTGCATCAGTGCGTGCCGGCTCTAAACTCAGAAGCTCTGCTGCACTAGACGCACCAAAAACAGAGAGCGAGAGAGAGAGAGAGAGAGAGACACAGGAGTAAATCTTCAGTTGTCTGAAACTTGATTGAGCGGCTCCATTGCTCCCACACCAAAAAGAGGACTGCAGCTATGGGTCCTGCTAAACCCTCCATAGAGGACCTCAGGATCAACCGGTGAGCATTTGTTCTTGAGCTCGTGGCATGCTACCTTATGCGACATCATGTCTTTAGATCGTGCTATTCTTTCCCACTTTGAACTCTCCCCAAGTCTCACAAGGTGTCAGGGGAACTTTGGTTTCGCATTCTTTGCACCAGCATGTCTTGGAATGTCGTTTGTGCTTCTCGTGTAGCAGGTGGCAATTCCAGTGTTCCAAAAGCTCATTGACATGCAGTCCTGCCTCAACCACATCCTAATCTAGCTGGCTACGCAACGGATGGCTGCTTTGGGGACTCTTGTGTGGGTTGGCCCTGACACATACATCATACAAAAGAGGTCGTGGCTCAAGCCCCAGAACGGCCTGGAAGCTGAGAGGACTGCGAAAGTCGTGCCATCAGCCGCAGAAGGAATCGGCAAACACTTCCAGTGTTGGGCCAGAAAGTTGCCACTGCGCTGTCGTGCCATCAGCCGCAGAAGGAATCGGCAAACACTTCCAGTGTTGGGCCAGAAAGTTGCCACTGCGCTGGCCAATATACCAGAATACACACAGCAGCGCAACACCAACGACCCAGTCCTCGGACTGTGCAAGTTTCTTCATGTTTCTTCGTTTTACGCGGTCACAAAGTTGCTCTCATCTCTTGCAGAGCCCGTACTGTAGCCCCTAATCATTCTCATTTGCCATCATTTGCCGAGACTCCCATATGTTTTGTCGCACCATATGCAAAGACAAAGATGCCACCGCCAAAGCGAGCAAACGGAAATAGGCCTGAATTCAATAATGGAATCGCATCAGTGCCTCACACCAGAACATGAACTAGCGAGTTATCCTCAGCTTGAACTCTGAACGCTCTCTGGCATGCTGATATTGGCTGCGATTGCAAACACAAGTGCGGAGACCCCACACCATTTCAAACAAAGGAAAGCACCAAGGCACTTCAGAAGCACTGTCAGCCGTGCCTGACAGAGCAAGAGTTGAATTTCGTGCCAATGAACTCATGTGTGATGGTGTGATGGTGTCCTTCTGCGTTGGGGAATACGTTCAGATACGTTCAGGTACTGCAACCGCATTTGTTACATCCATCACAGCGTGTTGCATCACAGCGTGTTGCATCGCATTGCATCGCATTGCATTACACGCACTGTACGAAATCAGACTCACAGCATGACGCAGTCTGCGACCCTGCGACATTCTCATTCTGCGACTCTGCAACTGAAAAACTGTTCACAATCCAGGGCCAGCATCGCAGATCCAAATCAATCCCGGGAGCCAGGAGAATGCACAAGCTGTCAAAAACTGAGATCTTGCATCTGAGACATGTATACAATAGAGTATATACAATATGCACCAGAGCTCTTGCCATCCGGGCACTTCTCTCTTCTTTGCGCGCAGGCGCAAGTTCCGCCAGCAACTGCCTCTGCAAGGCGCAGTCTTCTGGACCCAACAGCTCCAAGTGCCAAGCTGATGCCAAGACACAAAACCGGCCGTTTGTCAAACTGACGCTTGGTGCTTCGGCCTCAAGAACTTGACCAGCTGTATACTAACTTGAAAAAAAAACAAAAAGAGAGTCAGAGAGAGTCTTCGGAAACTTTTCAGGCCCCGAAAGCGGAAAGCCGAAAGCCCGCCTTGACTGCGAAGCTCTGGGCGCGGAGTGCTCACAGAGCCAACAGTCAGGCGAGCGTGCTTCAGCCTGGCATGGCAGTCCCAGGGCCCTCCTCTCAAGCTCTCGAGTTGACCGAGCCTCATCTGGGCGAAGCTGCATCTTCGTTGCTTTAGCTCTGCAGCAGGAAGGTTGTGGTCTGCCATGCCTTGGAGCACTTAATGACTTCATGGGCTGCTTAGTCGCAACATGTACCAGTTTCTTATGTGACCTCAGAGTCCCCACTGCAAGTGCTGACGAGGCTCTCCGCAATGTTCTGTCAGAAACCTCGATGGAAGACAATGATGAAACCGAGGAATCCGAAACCCAGAAAGCTTTCCAGCAGCAATTGAGCCAAGATGGCTTGCACAACCACTGTCAATGCACTTGCTTCTGCAGAGACCACTTCGAACCAATTCAATCACGCAATGCTTCCATTCAGGCAGCATGAGGCATCCGTCGTCCTGCAATTCCTTGCATATGTGATCCACTTCCGACTCGTGCGGACATCCCCGTAGAGCTGAAAACCCGGACCCTGGCAGTCCTGAAACATCCAAGCATGTTTAGACATGAGGCAATAAGAACAGCTCTTCTCCTACACCTATCGCAAGGGCTGTGCGCTTTGCTGCGATGAGTCTTTTGTTTGGCCTTGACCATCTTGTTCACCTTGTACAGCCTGCGAAGAAAGCGCAGAGTTGAGAAACCTGCGTTTGTATCAGTTGCATCCCCTGCATCCTTTGCATACCGCGTCAGTTACCATTTGCCAACACGCTTGCCTGAACCAGTGCCGTACACAACTGAACCTGGTGGCTGCCACTTGCGGGCGAAATGAAACCCACATCATGCGCAGTCATGTGAGGCACGTTGCGTGTTTTTGTATTTGTGGCAATGTCCGGCAATGCTCTTCTAAGCTGGGGACTGCAGGCCAGAGTGATTGCGGTGACAGGACCAGGTCTCGCAACGATCGATTGACCAGCATCGATGCGGCGGTCGGCAAAACGACCTTGGACGAAGGCTTGAGTGGCCACAGAAATCCTGCGCCAGGGCCAGGGCTGCTGCCGATTCCAATGCCCTGCAGATGCTTTGTACAACCAGTCAACCAGTTGCGTAAAGTTCCAAGTCTTAACAAGGCTTGACATGTCGCAAGTTTACCGCACCCACGAGCGGCCGCCGCTGGCTCATGCTCTTGCAGCTGGGCACTTTCCAGCACAGCCTGCGTACCTGAACAGCCCAACATTGAAGTCACATCTCCTTTTGACACCTCTGTTGTACTCTGAGGGGCGCACGATGCGATGTGTGCAAGATCTTCATCAGGCCAAGTACTTGCCGAGTTCTATCTGCCACGTCCAACACCTCCAGCATTGCCCTGACAAAGTGCATGAATGAAATCAGACCCTCAGAGTGGGATGGGTCTCAAATAGTCGACAAGTGGAGCTGTCAAGCTGATGTCTAACGATGTCTGACGATGTCTAACGATGTCTAGTGCAATGCAGCTACGTCTACGTGCAGGAACGCAGGTCCTCTATGGTTCCCCATGGTATACCCCATGGTACCCTTGTGCTTCGACCTCCACATACCTCCACTACATCTGCGCTTGTGACCGCTTGTGGCTCTGGGCCCGGTGCTCCCTTACACGCGATCGCGCCGAGCTGGCGTCGTACTCGTGAGCCTCGAAACGTGGCACTTCTGTGGGCACTTCAGGCACTTCAGTGGGCGACCCAAAGTGCCACAAAAGAAAGAGCAGCGGCGACCAGAGTTCGTAGCGTTCCCTAGCTGTGCGAGGTTTGGCTCTCTGCCTCTGTACGTTTGACGTAGAGCTGCGAACGCGTGACCGCTGAGCACGGCGTGCCAAGTGGTACCTTTCCACCCGCACTACAGGCAACAGATCGTGTCCGCATTTCAGCCTGCCTGGTCTTCTGCACTTCGCGACAGGCCCTGACAAGGTTCCAGACATGGATACGTCTCTGTGCCAATGCGGTCGATGGCAATCCCTGGCCTGAGCCACGAAATTTATGACAGGGCAAAGCTGCGAAAAAACCTTTTTGGCGGTCGCATCACCTGATTCCACAGCAATCCCTCTGCGCAGGCAGTTTGATGACCGATATGCTTAGGCATGCTTAGGCTGAGAACTGATGGCGATGATTGGGGACGAAGTGCACCTGCGGCGTGGCATCACCAGTTTCGCAGCCTCTGTGATCCGAAGGATCCACCAAGGGTCCCAGAGCCTCCGTCGTTTGCAAAGACTGAGTCTGAGCCAGCCCGGGACCACCACGTTCGGGGCCTCAGACAAAAGTGACAAAGATTGACAAAGTGTTCAGTTGACAGATTGTTGAAGACATGTTGACATCATGTTGGAACCTCCAAGATCGGAGCCGGCGCGAACAAGGGGCGACTCCAGACACTCCGCAGCGTCTCGGCCAGAAATCGCAAAAACCCAGAAGGCCAGCGACCTCGCAAAACCCTGAGATGCCAGAAGCACCAACTTTGCAGCTGCAAATGCAAGGGAAACACGACCAAAGTGCACAAAGATTTGAAGGTTGTAAAGGGTCGCGCCCAGGATCATCTTCGGAACCTCTGTGCTGGTGCTTTTAAGTTTTCAAAAGAGACACCCTCTGTCAGCCCTCTGTCAGCATTCCTAGGATTTCCCGCATGACAGCTGTGACAGCATACGGCAAATTGTGGCAGCTCCCCAAAGTCAAAGGTGCCAAAACACATGCAAGAGACCCGGAACTGCAGGGAACACAACACGAACACAACACAACACTGCGCTGATCTCCTTGTGGCACCTTGTGCTCCTTCGCACTCTCTCCACCTGTCAAACCTGACTCCCAGTGTGTTTTTCGACCAAATCAGAGTCGCTCCTGTCAACCTGTATCCACCAAACTGCTGGAGGAATCATCTCGCAACAGCTCGCCAGCTTGCAAGGGCGCCCCCCTTACGTCCCTTCGCCATCAGATGCTCTCATGTTAATGATTTTACATGTACATATATACATACATTCATACATATTTACATTTATGTATTCATCTGCTCTCGGCTCTCCCACCTTACCCCCAGTTCTCGGATCCGCATGGATCTTAAATGACAAACCATGCTCCACATGCCTGAACAGGTTGAACCTGCTGAGCTTTTCGGCACGACGCGCGCTCATGATCATGTAAGACTGTTGCAGCTGGCCTATGACACGAAACACACCTGAACCCTAAAACCGGATCCAAATACACAAGACACGTAAAAGCCAAGGATTAGGGGCCAGCAGGGGTCCGACCCAAAGGCTCGGCATATGCTTCTGAGGCATTCTCCTCGATGACGCCAACTTGCACGGCAGTCTTATTTTCGATACACCCCTCTATAGAACAAAGGAACAACGAAGCAAGCACAGGCCGCGTTGAACATATTCCGAACTTTGCTATTGACTGGTGATTTGTGACTTGCACATGTCGAAGACCTGGCACTCGTGGGAATGCGCTCGGATCTCACTCGTAGGGCTTTGGCCGCTTGGTTCAGCAGCTGTGCATACCGCTGTTCCTCGAAGCTCGGAAACCGAGCATCGTCCAAGCTCCAACACCATTCCTTTAGCAAGACATCAGAGAAATCGAAGACGTGCAGCAGTGGCAAGAGGTGAACAATTAAAAGCCGAGATCCAGGCGTATTGGACCTGGTTGCCTGCCGTATGGGTGCACACAATTCCTTACGTATGATGACATTGCTCGCTGTTTGCATGGCGGCGTTGGAAGAGGACATGCCAAAACATCCGCAGACATGAACTTGTGAATGCACGCGTTTTGGGTGGTCAGTTCTCTAAACGCGATTCAAAAACACCTGACACATAACGGAGATTCAAAACGGACCATTTGCACAAGTGACCACGTGTTGTGGCCAAATCCAACCCAATGCCTTTCAGCCCTTCACTTTACGAGGGGGCCTTAAGGCGATACATGTCTGGGGGCAGGATACCATATATAAACGAAGCAAGGAGAAGAGCATCAAGAGACTGATGCGGCTTGACCCAAGCAGGCAGGATTCATCGAAAGCAGGAAGCGAGAGTGAGAGGGGTGGACTGCACAGACAACAGTCAAGGGGTCCGGGGTGGCCCTCGAACGCTTCAGAAGCACGAAAATCAGTGATTGGGTCACTACCTTAGAAGCAAACTGCAGAAAACAAGCCACATGTACAGGAGTTTCCATGCCGGAACAAATCAACCTTGCGGAATCTAACGGATCCAGCGATTTGTTTCTGTCCGCAGTGACTATCAACAACAGAACGCACCCGTTGATTCAGTGCCGTTGAAAGTGGACGGTGAATCCACGGCATGTGGACCTGTGAAGAGCTCACTTTCACACCCAGCCTGTAGCTGCATTGCAAGCCAACGTCTGAAGAAAAATGCAACACTCCGCTGCATCTTCCGGAGCTCTCTGGGCAGCAAAGGCCTGGCAGCTGATGCCTTTTCCCGCCTTTACTCCAATGATCTCCAACGTCTTGCATGGAGCCTTTAAGTGCCTTTGAATGCCTTTGGGATCTTTGAGGACAATCTGTTCACTCGACAACCTGAACTGTGCTTATACGAGGAGATGTGAAAGGATGGAGGCAAATGAAGGCCGCGCGCGGCCAATTTGCCTGGTGCGCGGTGGTCACTGTCTGCGCGCGGTCCGTCAGGAGGACTTCCAGTGCCTGAAAGCTTAAACCCAGCTTCAAGCCCTTTATGTCTACCATATTTCATATTCCAGGTGTAATCACAGAGCCCCCCTCCTGTTGAGGGTTTAGGGTAGAGGGTTGCTGGTCTAGGGCTTAGCCTAGTTAGTTGGAGTAGGGTTTAAGGTCTCCCCCTGCCCGTTATATACCCCACAAAGCCAATATCTGGGACCCATACGTTTAAGCTTTATATGCTTCATAATTTACTGAGATATTTTCCAGTGTGCGTGGCTTTTTGCCAATCAGCCAATCAGCCGATCGGAGTAGTAGTAGTAGTAGTAGTAGTAGTAGTAGTAGTAGTAGTAGTCGTCGTCGTCGTCGTCGTAGTAGTAGTAGTAGTTTAAGTAAGCACTCCGGCTCAGCTGTGTCCCAGCAGCGGGGCTTATAGTTGTGGAGATGTAGCATCTATGCCATGGAGCGAACCTTGCGGTGGAGTCCGGCTCCGAAACGTGATGATCACAGTCCTATAGTGCAGCGAGCCGCACTAGCGCTACTGTTGACGCTCGCCAGCTGGGTGCCTTTTGGCCCCAACAAAGGGCGCATGGGTCGACTGAAAGCCTTTGCCCTGGCTTGCCAACGCGTCAGTCTGAAGCTAGCCCCGTTGCAAGTGCGTGTTTACCAGCAGCTAGGAGTTGGCGCAACTTTTCCTGCAGTTGGTGCAAGCAAGAGGTCGATGCCGCCTGCATCCCTCCTGGGCGCGCGCCGTCAGGCTGCCCCATTGAGAGCACGCTCGTCAGCTGGGCGCCTCTGGGCCCCAACAAAGGGCGCATGGGTCGACTGTGCGCCTTTGGCCCTGGCCTGCCAACGCGGCAGTCTGGCACCATTGCAAGTGCATGGCTACCAGCGAGCAGGAGTTGGCGCAACTTCTCCTGCAGCTGGCGCAAGCATGACGTGGCTGCCACCCGCATTCCTCCTGGGCGCGCGCCGTCAGGCCGCCCCATTGAGCGCATAGTGCCACACCTCCTTATAGATAGCGGCCCGGTCCCAAGTCCGGGGTGGGATGCCGACTGACGACTCTACTTATATTGCTACATTGTCAGGTGTCCCACAGTGTGAGGGTTCCAGCTCTTTCCGTTGGAGCTGGGGAAGGCAACTCCCTTGCCTATCAGCGACGACTTCAGGTGCCGAAGCTAAACGGAGTTCAGGTCACAGATGGGAAGCAGGGACCTACTCACAAGTGGAACCGATGTGTCAAGAGATCCTTTATGCCAGCTTGCAATAGAGCTACTCGACATTGCCAAGCGCAGCCCTTGTGCCTGTGTACCTCTAGTTCAGATACCCGAGGAGTGTGTAGCTGCAGATCATCGCTGCCTTGTCCCGAATGCTGACCGACTGCCGGCGGCGGCAACCTACCCTATCCTCGGATTGGCCCGCGCTGGGCCCCCGGCCCCACGTATGCTTCGAGATGTGGTCTGGGTTTTGACGTTACGTCCTTCCGGGTCACAGTTAGTAAGTGCGAGAAAGCTGTGTTCTGGCGATGCGCTGCGGCCAGACCTTTCTTGGGTACTGAACTACACGGTCCCCAGTGTGCCCTCCAAGGGCCACTTGCAGTTCACAGGACTACAGGGCGTTGAACGTGGTCCTCAGTGCGCCCTCTTGGGGCCACTTGCAGTTTCATAGGACTACAAGGTGCTGTGCGTGGTCCTCAGTGTGCCCTCCTGGGGCCACTGCAGTTCTCAGGACTGCACTTTGTACAGAGAAACACCATGATGAATGCAAGATGCCATAACAGATGGCTGTAGCGATGTCGATAGCTCTACGACCTGTTTTCATGTTTACGTTTTCGCTTTCTACTTATCTGATTTTGCACTCTGTTGATCGAGTGAAGGGTGCACTGGTGCACCATCTCTTGACAAGTTGAGTAGGCCGCAAGTTTGCAGCTATTCGTAGCGGGACTTGCCCATGTGGTTCTAGTGCTCTTGAAGCACCGGTGCAATGCGCTGCCACGTACCTGACGCTAAGCTGAGAGACCGGCTGCGATTGGAATGAAATAGTAGTTTTTAAGTAGTAGTAAAAGTAAAAGTAAAAGTAGAAGTAGTTGTAGTAGTAGTAGTAGTAGTAGTAATAGTAGTAGTAGTAGTAGTAGTAGTAGTAGTAGTAGTAGTAGTAGTAGTAAAAGTAATAATAATAGTAGAAGTAGTAGAAGTAGTAGAAGTGGTAGAAGCAGCAGAAGTAGTAGAAGTAATAGTCGTAGTAGTAGTAGTAGTAGTAGTAGTAGTAGTAGTAGTAGTAGTAGTAGTAGTAGTAGTTGTACTAGTAGTAGTAATAGTAGTAGTAGTAGTAGTAGTAGTAGTAGTAGTGGTAGTAATGGTAGTAGTAGTAGTAGTAGTAGTAGTAGTAGTAGTAGTAGTAGTAGTAGTAGTAGTAGGAATCACGCACAATGATCAGAGCTCGCTCGCTCAGCGTGTAACTACTACTACTACTACTACTACTACTACTACTACTACTACTACTACTACTACTACTACTGCTACTACTACTACTACCACTACTACCACTACTACCACTACTAGCACTACTACCACTACCACTACTACTACTACTACTACTACTACTACTACTACTACTACTACTACTACTACTACTACTACTACTACTACTACTACTACTACTACTATACTACTACTAACACTACCACTACCACTACCACCACCACTACCACCACCACTACCACTACCACTACCACTACCACTACCACTACGACTACGACTACTACTTCTACTACTGCTACTACTACTACTACTACTACTACTACTACTACTACTACTACTACTACTACTACTACTACTACTACTACTACTACTACTACTACTACTACTACTACTACTACTACTACTACTACTACTACTACTACTACTACTACTACTACTACTACTACTACTACTACTACTACTACTACTACTACTGCAGTAGTTGTAGTTGTTGTTGTAGTTGTTGTAATAGTAGGAGTAGGAGTAGGAGTGGGAATAGGAGTAGGAGTGGGAGTAGGAGTAGGAGTAGTACCAGTACTAGTACTAGTACTAGTACTAGTACTAGGTAGTCGGTAGTCGGTAGTCGGAGTGGGTACGTAGCAGGTAGCAGGTAGCAGGTAGCAGGTAGCAGGTAGCAGGTAGCAGGTAGCAGGTAGCAGGTAGCAGGTAGCAGGTAGCAGGTAGCAGGTAGCAGGTTAGGTAGTAGGTAGTAGGTAGTAGGCAGTAGGCAGTAGGTAGTAGGTAGCCCGCCGACCAGCCGATCAGCCAATCAGCTGATCGGGTAATTTACCCGATCAGCTGATCCGCTGATTGGCTGATTAGCTGCAGCGCAGTTTACAAGCCAACTTTGCAAGCACAATGATGTTTCCTTAAACCCCTATGAAGCTGAAACTATTGTTTCGTAGGGGCTAGTGGGGGAAGAGGTCCATTTTGAGGACCCTTACTACTATTTCCCAAAGAAACTAATGGGGGGTCTCCATTTTGCTGGAGAAACGAGGAAATGTGCTTTCCAAACTTCAGAAACCATGCTCACAACTCACAACTGACACATGTTCAGGTGTGCAAAAGTTATCTTGGCTTGTCCATCTTCATAGCTCGAACCGATCAGTATCTTGCAAGTTACACATCAAGCAAGAGACAGTGGACCTCCATTGCATGCTGCCAGGTGCTGCCAGCCCACGCGGCAGGCTTGGCAAGACAACCAGTTTTTATTGCTGCAACATCGTACTGTGTGTTTGCTGTTTGACGTCTGTGTTTGCCATAACGTGGTGACGACTCTTGACGACTCTTTAAACATGCTCGCCTCATGAACATCTCATCCAGATTGCAGAGCGCCTGGGTTGTAGGGTTCAACACAAGCCCACGCCATCTGCAAGGCTTGACCCGTCGTACTCCGTGGCGGCTGAAAAAATGAAAACCGCGTTCAGATATGTTCAGGGTCGCCCAAGATGGCTCACTTTTTGCACTGTCCTGACTCGCAAAAGATGCACAAGTCCGAGAGGCAGCCCTGAGCACAAAAGGCAGCGCGCAAGTTCCGGGATGATTTCTCTAATGACTTTGCGCTTGAGGGGCAAGCCGAGGCCAACGAAAACTAGCCTTGAACATTGCACACCACACCACCACCACCACCACCGCACAACTGCAACATCACCACGACAAGACCACCACCGCACCACCCCCACACGCCACTACATGCCACCACACGCCACCACACGCCACCGCAGGCCACCGCAGGCCACCGCAGGCCACTACACTGCGGAAAGGGGCTCAATGTGGAACACCGAAAAGGCTCATCCTGGAACACAGGAGAGACCATTTTGCAGAACAAGTCGTTTCAGAACACAGGATCAAGCACCGCTTCCAGGCTTTCAGCGCACGTTCCAACATGAAACTTCTGTAGTTGTTCAGGCTTAGCAGGTCTTAGCTATAGAATGTCTGCGTGTTCCAAATGAGTGTTTCAACGGTCCCACTTTCCAAGTCGGACTTTTGGGGCCTGTCAAAATAAAGAGGATTTCCAACATTAAACAGAAAACAGGTTTCCTTTTTACATAAAATTGGTTTCCTCTGTAGGAGCAGCAGTGAAACTATGTGAAACTGCTGTCAGTTTTGGGGGCTGGGCATGATGGCGTCGGGACCAGGGGAAGCCCCAAAACCGCCCAAGCTACGCAGTGACAGTACAGTACCGCACTAGCGCAGGATAGCGCAGGGCCCACAGAGGAGTCCAGGGCATGCCTTGGTCCAGTCGCTCCTTCCCTGGACACAGCGTGGCAACAAGGATACAAACGAGCAACAGGGAACGGTTGGAGGGGTGTCGTTACGCGGATTTCTGCTTTGTTATTTTCATTGCTGCGTATGCCTTGGAAGAAAAGCAGTTGCGGGGCTAGTGGGGGCGAGGATCATGCTGTTTCCTTCCGGCCCTCTCCCAGTGGCGGAATCTGCATGATCCCGGCCAAGTCGAAAGCTCACGTCATGGTCGCATCAAACACGCGCCGACTTGCATGCCTTGCAGAATACGGCATTTTACCAGGAGACCATAGGAGACCCATAAGCCCGCTTGGCAGTGATGCGCACAGTGGCACCTAGAGAGGGCTCAGGGGGTGGCATACGGCGAAACGACTGCTGGGAAGGGCCACATGAGCCACGGAGCCACCACCAGAGACACCACCGGAGCCACCCTTCCCCCCGGAAGGAACCTACGAAGGGTGCAGAAGACTTAGGAGCGACTTAGGGCAGGCGCAAATCCCTCGTGTTATTTTAAAGAATTGACGCGACCCTTTTGGGCGCCTGGGACCTGCGATGTCTCATCCCCTGCGACACGACGAGGGCGCTATGCCAGCAGCCCCCAGACAGCGCAAGACTTAGAAAACCAGCGGCTGTTCTAGCCGCCGCCTTAGAACAACCGGTCCTTCGAACATGAAAATACGGCGGTTTTGCTACCATGCACCTACGAAAACCCAGCGGTTCCGGACGCCGCCTTGTGAAACCAACGGTACCTCAGAAAACCGCCGGTTTTACTACCAGGGCACCTTAGAAAAACCCCTGCTTTCTGTCACCGCTTTAAAACCAGCCGCCTTCAAAAACCACCATGTCAAGTGCTTTTTGAGAAAGTGGTTTGTCTATAAGGTGGTTTTGAAACGGTGATTTTCCAAAGCCGGCGGTTTTTCCGGGGCAGCTGCTCGAAAACCCGATGGTTTTTCTAAGGCGGCTTAACCGTGATTTTTTCTTGCAAAGCAGCCGCTACAATTAAAAAAAACGGTGGATTTTTCCAATACACTGTCCAGCCTCAGTTTACAATTTACTCCGCGTTCCAAAAAGACACCCTTTCCGCGTTCCAAATCGAGACTTGTCCACGTTCCAGAATGAAACTTTTCCGCGTTCCATAATGACCACCACCGCCCCTGTCGCTGCTGCTGCTGCTCCTCCACAACCCATGACAGAATCAAGCTGCAACTTTCTTTTCTCCGACCCCACCTGCTAAAGCGAGACTAAACTCAAGCCTAGCTCCGCTAGCTTTCGCGACACAAGTTGTCCATGAACATGATGCAAAGCTTGTCATGGCAAGTGGTGAGAATCTCCAGTTCGACCTGGAACATGTTGGGACCCATGCAGATCTGTGGAATCTCATCACTGTGCATGTGGAAGATAGCTTTGCTGCCATGGCCCAGAAAATTTTGCTGCTCTGTGCAAGGCTTGCCTGTTCAGCAATGCGTCGCACGGAAAAGCAGACAAAAACCTGCCTGGTATGTGGCATTCTCTTCATCCTTGCAGACCAAAGGTTGCTGACGTCCGAGGCAAAGTGAGATGCTGAACAAAGGCAAAGTTAAGACCGGAGTAAGAGCAAACTAGGGAAGACAACTGTACAGAACTCACGGTCGTTTGCACCTGCGCTATCGTCTGACAGCACTTGCTGCTCGGCCTACATAAGCAGACACGGGCGCAACTGTCAAAGTGGAACAAGCAGAAGCCACCACTTGTAGCGTGCTCGCCCCGAGAGCTCCAACAGTCCCAACACTCACTGGAAGAGCCGGGGTTGTGCTATTTGGAAGAACCTGCTTAAGACCGCAAGACATGTAAAGACGGTCCAATTGGCTGCCAGCGCTGGCAGCCGTTTGTAAAGCGGCGGCATTGACCATGTTCCAGTCAAGCTTTGCCCGCACATCTCTACAGTCCCTGTTCACTATCCGCGCTGCGTTTCCCGGAGACGAAGGGCACATGCGAAAATCAGCATCAATGGAAGTCCGACCTGGCCATGAGCAAGAGGACACTTAGCAGATTTGTAACGACCGGACCCAAAAAGCAGAACTATTCCGGCGAAGACCCGCAGATAGCTGGGCATGGAACTTTCGAAACCCAGCACCGCGAAAGCAAACTAGCATTTTCCTAGGTTACCCTCCGATTCCACCGGTGTATAAAATGGCTTTGGTTTAAGATGGGCTGGGTGCCCCAATTTACACTTCTACACGGAACCCCTTTACAAGAAGAAGTGCTCTTCGTGCGCACCCTCGGCCGATTATTGTACTTAGGACCCATGAAATTGGCGGTTGCTGAAATAAATGTTCCAGGACTTGTGGCTGGACAAATCCCACAACTGAACCTGTCGCAGAACGCCGTCACCCATGCCTCGTGTCCGCTGCCAAAACCGAATCTCAGGTACCGAGTTCAACCTGTACTTGCTATCATAACAAGAAGGCTTGCTAGACTTGCCTTTTCCAATCCGTATGTTCTGCAATACAGTGAGCATCAATCAACATTATCCAAGAATCCCAGTCACAACCCTGCAGACACTGGCGTGGGCCTTCCATCTTGCATGTCTGCTCCGCCAACATCCTGTCCTCGCACGCAGAACGTTCCGAACTAAAAACACTGTTAGAACACCAAATTGCTTGACGTTGTTGAAGCATCACTTCCATCCGTGAAAGCCCGCGGAAACTCAGGCAACTATAACTTGATCGCGCACACTTTTCATCAAGCTTACGTCACCTTAAACCCCACCAAGCAAAAACTGACATTCGACCCCGAATTGCAGATCAAATGCAAACCTATAATGCATATTATGATATATGCCTTTTGGCACAATGCACATGATTGCTCTCTCAGTCTATTTCTCCTCTTTCGCGCGCGAATCCGTGCGTACGAGGTACATTGGGTAATTCATTGGAAACCGGACATCAGCCGGGCCCCCGCGCGATGATGCACCACGGCCTGTTCACCACAGGCTGCGGCGCGCGCACCGGTCGGAACTCAAAATCGAGTAAATACCCAGGGTAAACGTAGGTCGCCCTCGCGCGTGTAAGCGCCTTCGGGGTACGCAGGTATCTCCACGGGAGTCCGGCATACTAGGGAGGGGTGACAAAGCAAAAATGATCAGCCAGTTTGGCTCTGGCTTCACAGTAGCTATGAGCCAAATAAGCAGATCAAACGTTGCACATGTGTCACGATGAAGCTTGCGCGCCCGAAGGCTGCCAAGTTCGATTCACGTTTGCATTTCGACACAATGCAATCGCTCACGCTCGCCCTCCAAGCTTTTCGACGCTTCCGGCTACTTTGTATGAGGTACCGCCCACGGTCACACCACGTCCACTCCCTGAACAAAACAGACACGGATGAATCAGTTGTGTCGGGCGAGCCAAGTTGGGCGAGTCAGGACGCCCGAGCCGCAGTTTTACCGGCGATGACCAGACATCTCGCCGGCCGCCCCGACTAGGGCATAGAGGAGGACCATGGATATCTCAAGTTGGGTGCCTGTTCTTGCTCCCTGGAATCCAGACCGAATAGAGCTTCAAGTCAATGAGAGGGTGGAAGCTTCGCAGGTAGGCAGGGGACGACCTGCGGCACAGCCGCGTCCACCGCCACTTTTCCCCTCCCAGCATCTCAAGGGGATGAGCGTCATCGGCCCCCTCCGCGGAAGGTTCCAGAGGGGGAAGCATAAGTGCAGCCAAGACACAGTGGGGGAAATCATGAGTGACAAGGGCACATGAGAGGGCCAGGGTGACAGGCACAAGTACCAAAAAGGGAGAAGAATGCGAGAAGAGAAGAGTGCGACAGGAAAGGAATGGGGCTGGCTGTCAAGACCCGTTTGGCAGTGAAAAGGGTGGAGTAGAGGGGGGGGGCGGGGACCGGAAGTGGCCCAAGTCCCGCGGTTTGGGGCAGAAGAGGGTTTTTCACAGGCGCAAAAGGAAACAGGGGAGGGGTGTGGGGGAGGGGGGGTTGGGCCGGGAGGCAGTGCCCTTGTGAAAATATTCGAGCCGCGAAGCAGCAAAGGGGAGGGGCAGCCAGGGCTGGAGGCCCGTACAGGGCGTGAGAGGCCAAAGCGACCAGCCTACGGGGGCAGCGGTGTCCTGGCTGCACCCCTTGGCGGATAACTGCCCAGACTCTGTCAGCTGCAGGACATTGAAGAATTGTTCAAAATCAGCTGGGATGCGGAGAAGGGCGCGGGCATGGCGACGGGCGTGCAGTCAAGGGCTCGTTTGGGGAGGTGCACCTGAACCGCCTGCAGCATGGAGGGTGGAAATGTGCCATGGAGGCGGAGTTGGTTCAGGCAGCGGCAATACAGTACTCAGTAGCTGCAGCTGAATTTCAACAGTCGCGGGGCCTGGGCGGGTCCCACGAAAGTTGGAGAGGAGCGGCGACATGGTTGGACCAACCAGGGTGAAGAGGGGGTAGGGGATAGGATTAGGGGGACCCTTGGGGATATAGACCCTCTGAATAAGGTCCCTGTTTAAGAGAGCCAGAAGAGGGTCAAGAAGGGTCCCCTTTTGAAGGGTCCCCCTTATCCTTCCTGGGAGGGGGGTTGTTGACTCCTCAGGAAGAGCGTGACCTGGGACGGGAATTATGCAAAGCATTCCACCGACACATGGTCAGCAGGCGTGGTCCCAAAGCTGACCAAGCGGAGCGGAGCCAGGGCAGGGCGCCGGACGCGGAGTCCGGCGTTAAGACCCCGGCGCCCGCGCGCACAAGTGGGCGAGACCACTCGAATGTCTGCTCGGGCGAGTGTGCTTAGGCCGGGGAAAAGGAAGGATCCGGCTAGCGAGTTGGCCGGACTCACTCACACACACACACACACTCTCTCTCTCTCTCACACACACAGATCTCTCACGCACAATCTCACACACACTCTCACACACAGTCTCACACACACTCTCACGCAAACTATCACACGCACTCTCGCACACACTCTCTCTCACACACACACGCTTCCACACACTCTCACACACACTCACACTCTGTCTCCACGCACTCACACACACTCTCTCTCACACACACACACCCACTCATGCTCCTGGCACCGCTCTGCAAGCAATCGCTCAAGCTGCTGGAAGCGCCTCTCAGCCTGTGTGACATTGCATGATGCCACAATGCCCACAACTGGTTGCGTCGACAAATGAGGGTCAGGTCAGAAACATTCCAAAACATTCCAAGACGTCAGAGGTGGTGAGCAAGCGATAAGACGAACAGGGTTTGGTCGAAAACATAGGGCCGCTGGTCGGCGCATGAAAGGGCCGAGAAGCCTCGCACGTCACAAACTGTTCCAGCTCGGATTTCAGCGACCTTGCGCAACTAGAAGAGGAGATACAGATGCCAGCAGGGGTCCAAGAACATGTGTCCTGGACACCCTTTCAACGCAGGGCCTTTTTGCGCTCCAAAGTCTCCAACTTGCGGAAGCGCTCCAAGCACTCCAGCTCCACAAACCCTCGGCTGCACAGGGCCAGGAAGCAAAGGAACCCAAGAATCACATGTCCTAGATGATCCTAGGTACCTGCGCCGTTCTTGACAAGAGTGTTCTCATTAAACTCATGCCTTCGAATGTTTAGGTTGAGAGTGCAAAAAGAGTGCAAGTCAAGTGCAGAAATACTCCAGAGCCTTAGCAAAACCAGGGCACGATCCGCATCCCGATCGGCCGAAGTGGAAGCTGAGGTTTGACACACCTGCAGAGACAAGAGTATGACATGTGTAGAGTCGGATAGAGAAGAGGTGTGATATTCATTAAAGTGGGGATGTGAAGGAGGGAGGGAGATCACCCTTAAAACCAATCGATAGATTAAGTTAGTTCTTCTGCCTACTGATCACACTGCTCGACACTGATCGGCTGTCTGTCAGCCTGGCGACGCCACTCCTCTTACATGAACTCAAGAGAACAGCGGAGGTGGCACAGGTCGCCTTAAGCCTGGCAGCTTCGTCAATGCTGTCAAGCGTTGTGCTGGCCTGCTCGTCACACGGAGCAGTTGCAGCTTCCGGCTCGTCCCTCTTGCTTCGCAGCATTGTGAAGACTTCAAGCAACATCTGGTGGATCTCCTGAACAGACGATGACAAACCTGAAACTCTTAACACTGCAATGGTGAGGCCGGACGTCCAGTGAGGCAGATTTGCGGACCGGATTCACATGGATTCATACTGTATGACTATATGACTACATGTGTCTGAAATTATCTGAGTCTTCCAGGAAGCTCGGCAAATAGTCAGGGATCAAGATGGAGCTGGAGGTTGTGGGTTTGGATCTCCTGCACCTCTCGCTCCCGTGCACCGCGCTCCTCCTCGCAAACTTGCCAAACACTGCCAAGTATGCCGCACCGTGCCCAAAAGAGACAATGTGAAGCATCCCGGGCATACCGGACCGCACCTACAATCGCCAGATACCCCATACTGAGTTGCCATACTGTCGCAGTCTACCCACCAGGTCACAGCCCCTCCTCAATCATTGCTAGTAGGGCATCGCACCTGGCGTCTGCAAGTTCCTGGCAGCCGGGCAGCTGGCATAAACAAGAAGGACCTGTTGATGCTCTGCGAGCCACACTTGCAGGGTATTTCAGAGATTTGGTACATTGACACGCAGTGCCCTGGAGCTCAGGTAACAGATTGCCAGCCCAACTCAAGTGTGACCAGCGCCCACAGATTTCTGAAAGCTGCTTGCTGGCTGGGGGTCCGCTGGAGCGAAAGACATCACCTGAGAAACCCAAGTTCCACAACAGGAAATATCACAATGCGGGGCTTGTGAAACACAGGTCACCAGTCAAGAGCTGCCAGGAAAATTGTTAGCCGTGAAATATGCAACGCAGCGCAACACAACCTTTGAACAAACAAAACGGAGGAAGTGCTAGCCACAAGCATGATAATATCGCTTCGCTGCATTTCTCCTCTACGCAAACCCACGCAAAGCCACACAAACCCACGAAAACCCATGCAAACCCGTTCAAACCCATGCAAAGTCATGCAAACCAATGCAAACCCATGCAAACCCATGCAAGCCTATGCAAGCCCAGATGGACAAATCACTTTCTGCACGGCAGGACTTACTAGCAGCGTCTCAAGGACAAATGCAGGAGTCAAGCCACCGAATTGTCGGTCACCATCCGCCGCATGCCATTTTCAACTTGCGTAGCCGTAGCCATGGGAGCCGGAATCTACACAACAAGAGCTTCTTGAGAGACGTTGCTGGTCAAGGCGAGATCAAGCAAAGTCCTGCAACAGTGAAGAATACCGTTCTGCTTTGCCGACTCGAGAAGGCATGAGTCAACGCAGAAAGGTACCCAAGACAGAAACGTGCGCCCGCTGTCTTTCATCAGCAGCGTTTCGCTGATCTAAAGCAGAATCCTGAAAGGGTGCTCATTAGCAATTTTCTGCGACGCAGCTGGCGATGCCAATGACTCACCCTGATGTACTGCAAGTCAGGATGCAACTAGCAACGAACTATCATAAACACACCACGAGCTGCATTACAAATGAGAAGAGCTGGTCGCCTGCATAGGCATTCTGCGTTCACAGCTCACATCTCTGGTCAGCACGAGTTCGTTGCAGGGTAGGTTTGGGAAAATGCCAACAAACAGACGCTTCCACTATCACACGCAAAGGGCAGAATTGGCATCGCAGACTAGGTACATTATGTTGGTGAGCTTGCACTCAGCAGTTCATCTTCCAGCTTGTTCTCGCTATCTGGACTCCGCCTTGCCACACACGCAGGACTAATGCTGTTCCAGCCATAGCGACGCAGAATCATGGCGTTCTGGAGCACGCTTTCCTTTACCAGCGCCCAAGAGTTCTGCCTGGGAGGCTCCATGTCAGTCTTCGCAGCGCCTGCAGGAGACAGAAACCAGCACCTGTGTTTTCACAAACCTTCTGCGCCAGCATGAACCAGAAATAACCTGAAGTAACCTGAAATAACCTGAATTTGCATCTTGAAATAGGATGAAAATGGACGAGATAGGCTACCTGTTGCAGAGGTCAGTCCGGCCACTTCGGAAGTCACCGCACCTGGCAACACGCCATATGTACAGCGTCGAGTCGAAGGCATGACAACATAAGAAAAAGTACGTTACGTGTCAGCTTGTCTCAGAATATCGTCTCCTTCTGCCTGCAATGTGAGGGCTGGGAAGCTTGGCTCGCAAGTCCTCAAACTCGAGTTGGCACAACGTCTGTCAGTCATACAACACTGCGAGCATCAAGCGACAAAACCAACACTCATGTGCCAACTGTTTTGCCAAACTTGTGTCATCTTTGATGTCCTTTGCCAGGCCGAACTTGTACCCCAATCCCATCAATGTCCTTGGCAAGGATACAAAGCTTGCGAGCTTGGAAGACGAAACAACGTGGGCTAAGACCGCTAAATCTGTATTCGAAGCTGAGCCCTGCAGGAAAAAAGTGTGGTTCTCTTAAGTTCTCTTGTGACTTGCTAGATCTTGGGAGCTGTGCTGTTGGCGTCTCTTGGGCAACTCCAACACCTGCATGTCCAAGCGCTCCAGCTCATGCACCTGTGCACGGTGGATCACTGCACATCCACTGCACATCACCTGCGGCAGCTCATCACAACGGAAGTAGCCAGCAGTCCAGAATGCTAAAAAGATGAAAACGCCAACAGCAGGAAATTCGAATTTTGGCACGTACTTTGACATGCAGCTCGCAAGCCTGTCTCAGCTGCTGGATGTACAGCTTGACTTCCTCCAGACCTGAAAGACTGGAGGTTGTGGTGCACCTGCAATGCCATGACTCGGATTCCCAGCGTAAGGGCCAGCAATCTGATGGATCGTGAGTGTTGCACACGTCAAAATTGAGAACGTTTCACAAGGGACTGCATGTGAGTTTCATGTGTGCTTGCTGAATTGACTCCGATGGCTTGTGCACGAGCACGTGATGTAGTCCCAAAACTTCCAGTCCCAGACAGTGACAAGCTCATGGCCTGGGAGAGGCTCCACCATGGCCTTGGCAACCGAACATGAAGAAACCATGACAAAATTATGACAAAATGCCTGTAAACAACTCACGCAGGCGAAGCAACGCCTTCCGAGCGCAAGGCCGGCACAAATCTGGCTCAGGCGACTGCACAGACAAGCCATCAAATCTTTCTGCATCCAGCTTGCAACTAGCAGCTAGCACTCACTAGCAAGTAGAAGGTCACCGCACCCCAGACCTCCTTAACTTAAATGATGCAGCGAAAGCACTTTTGATGGATGCGCACCGATCGGGCAGTAGTCTGCCGCACCCGATCGTGCGGCCGGCTGGTGCACACTCTGCGCCCACTGGCAGGGAACCCGACGAAGTCCCACGGGAGAAAAAGGTGGGAACAAAAACCCTTAAGTGATGCAGTGCAAGCACTGCTGATGAATGCACACCGATCGGGAGCACCCACCCCCGAAAACCGCCGGCTCACAAACGGAGGACGAACATGCCATCGAGAACCTCCGGCCGTGCGACGAGTGGCCGCATGACACCCACGGGCGCGAATTGCGCGAAATGCTTGAAGGTCCGTGCACCTATCTTCCATAATTAATGCCCACGGGCCCGCGAAGGCCAAAGTCGCCGAAGTGGACAGCGACGTCGGGAGTGGGGCGACGGCAGTACAGACAGGCGTAGTCATGGCCAGCAACGGAGAATGCGCAAGACAGAAAGGCTCCAAGCAGAACGCCTCGGTTCAGCTCGTCTTAATCCGCGCACACGCAAGCTGCACAACAAATGTTAAAGATTGGGCACGAGCTTACATAAAAATGGGCCCTTCACACAGCAAAAAGTCCCGTCTGCCTCAGCACCATGACTTGCTTCTCATGGAGGGCCAGCAGCTCCTCTTCAAATTCAAAATTTGGAAGGCAACTGCCCACTGACGAATGCGCATGAGAAGGACTGCCTTTTTGTCATCTGCCTCCCACTGATCTTACAGCTCTGTTGCAGCTTTGCCGCCGCCCATCATGCCACTCATGCCCTTCAGAGTATTGCCTCAGTTCGTGATAACGAGATCTGCCAATCCACAAGACTAACGCAGCCAAGGTGCCAAGCTGTTGGAAGTAGGATTGGGCTTCCTTTCCTAAGCTCGGAGAAATTCTAGCGGAATAATTTCACAATAACTCGTGTAACTCGTGTCAAGTTGCCATTTAAGAGGCACGCCATTTGTAAGAACAAACCCCTCCGGTCAAGACTAGCGTGATTCGAGCCCCTTCAAAGACCCAAAGCCTCGTCAACTCAGTTTCGTCTTCTCCCGATCAAGGCGGCCTTGTCATCGATTGGCTATACAGATACAATGTATCCACACATTTCCACGCTTTGCCCTACACGATACCGGCTGAATCATGCTGAGAATCGCGTCACCTGCCCATCACCATTTTTGTCCATCTGCTTGAACATTTCCTCTGGCCCAATCCGGCAAACCATAGCAAACCGAGTTCTTCCCCCTTCCCTACCGCCCCACCCTCGCCTCCCCACCGAAAAAAAGCTTGAAAAAAGGTCTCCTTCGCCTTGGTGAGCGTGTCTCCATCAGCGCCCGGTGGCGATGAGACGCTGGAAATCTCCGTCTCCGTCAGGATCCCATCTCCGTCCTGCGAGCTTCTGCCAAGACCACAAGGCTTCAGAAGGCTTCAGTGCGCCAACCTGCCACTTACCGTGTTGAGAGGAGATAGCTCCAGGATCAGAACATGAAACCGCCGATTGAGTGGCTCGGAGTTACGCGACTGCCTACGCAAAAACAGGTTGCAAGCACTCTGGTCTGAACCGACATCCAGGTATCCCGTCCTTCAGCCTGTAGCCTGTACAACATTATGAGAGTAGTTTATTTCCGGTACGTGGTTAATAAACACAAACTGCTTCTTAGCAGCATGGTCTGTCAACGTCAGGAGCAACAGGCTGAGAAGGTGCGATCGTTCGACACATGAAACATGAACCGTCTCTAAAACTCCTTGTCCATCGCATTGACCATCAGATCTGCCATGGAGCTGCCTGCAGAGCAACTTTGCACGCGAATGAGGATCAGAAGAACAACAAAGACTTTGTGAGTGCTTCCCCATGTATGAATTTCTCTTCCAGAAAGAAAGCTAAGAACCGGCCACAGCAGCAAGTCATGCGCGACCTTGCCTAAACTGCTCGGATCCAGATTGTTCAGCGCCGAAGCAGCTGCTTTCGGATCATCTGCAACGAGGCGTGTGAAAGCTCTGGCATCCGCAGAGGGAGGGAGAGGGAGAGGGAGAGAGAAAGAGAGAGAGAGAGAGAGCGAGAGAGACTACTCTCCTTCCCACTCCGGGCACAGGCACTCTGAGGCCCAGGCCAGCTGCACCTTTGAATTTGTCTGCAAATGCTGCCAAATCGTCCAGGCCTGGCGTGTGGCCAAGATGGATGATGTCGCGTTTCAAATCACATCTGTTTCTGATGCATACTGCAACGTGATACATTGTGCTGCAGCAGTGTTGTGGACCGATGCAAACAGCAAAAGCAAGTATCTGCATGTATAGCATGGTTAAAACGAAATGCGATTTAGTCAAAGCGCCTCCTGCACCCTTTCCTGCTTTTGGCGCTGCCAGCACTGCTTGAAGCACTGCCAGCACCGGAAATCCTCCGAAGGAGTGATGCAATATGATGCAATGACCCAAGGACGGACGCGCATCAACCAGCAACAGCACCAAAAACAGTACGACTTACCACCGGCACCACCCATGCCAACAAAGCCACAATCACAAGCCCGGTACCAACAGGAGCCGTAAAGCCTGGTTAGCCCTAATTAACGTTGCAAAACCCGTCTTAAGCCCTAGTTAGTGCTTCGAAAAACCTGAGTTTGGCCTCTTTAAAACTCCGTTCGGGCTTCGAAAAACACTTGAAATCTGAGCTAAGGCTTGTGAAACCCTAGTACAACTGTTTGATCACAGCTATATGAAAGCCTAAAAAAAAATAGGAGCCTGCCTTGAATCGCTGAGTGGGGGCTGAATCAACGTTTAAAAAAAAACTGTAGAACATGCGGGCCCTAAAAAAGGCTAAACATAAGCCTCAAGGCTTACTAAAGGCTTCTGAGCTTCTGGGGAGCCTCGATGATGTGGGCAAAGCAGTCTTGTGTCAAAGGAGGTTTGAGACAAAGCAGGTTGAAGAAAATGGAAGCCATGCTCGGCACACCACATTCTTTGGTTGGGGGCTGGCTTAGTAGCCACAGGCATTGTGGAGATCATCTGCGGTTGCACAGGGATACTCGATGGCGTTGGGGGGTATCCGGATTTTTGTGTGTTCTCTGGCAGTGGGCACTCCAGCGATGCTCTTCTGCATTCTGGCCTGCTTTTTGAGACGGTACAGTTCGGCACAGTTGCCCGCCTGAAGCCTCTCTGGCCTGCTCGTTCTTGATGGCTGTTCTGCGCTGCTGTCTGAATTCTGTGCTGCCTGCTGTGAGCCTGCGGGCTGGAGGCCATATTGCCAAAAATCCGGGATTCGAGTCCTATGCTGCACTCTTTTGCTAGAGACAAGCTAACACACAAACAAACCACGGCCCTCTCCTTTCTCTCTTGCACAACCACAAACAAAACCCAAGCTGGGGACGGTGAGCCTCGTGCTAAAGCCCACATTGGAAAAGCTCGATTTGACGCACCTTGCAGGCATCACATCTGAGAAGCGCAAAGGGCTATGGAACCCTGCGCTGGCCTGCACAACTGATGCGGATCCAGAAGGAACTTGAATAACGTCTCTAAGGCACGAGATCTAGATGAAAGATGTGCCGACTGAATGAAGCCCTTCCTCTCTGTCATGATCTGAGTTTGGTCAGCTGCACGATGTCACCCACAAAACTTCTCGAGCCACAAGTTGCACACAGACAGCGAACGTGAGCACATGCTCGCAGGAGATCAAACACAGTATTCGGTGCAGGGATGTGTAGGGAAGTGCACCCGTAGCCACCATTCCTCAATACGCTCATCACGAGGAGATTGACCACGGCTGCTGCTCCGACTGGCAACGCCACGACCTTGGCACACATCGGCAAATTCACCCCCCGCTGAACCCCGCAGAACTCCGAACAAACCGGCTATTCCTAGTTTCCGTGCAAGGGCTCACAAGGTCCATCCCTCTGAAACCCTTCACTCCATGACTTGCCCAGACTCCCCACACTCTCTAGAGGCACCGCACAAGCACTGCAAAGCCCTGCACAAGTATTCAAGGCGAGCGACGGCTCTCTGCCCGCACAGACACTGAACTGCTGCTCCTTTGTCCACAAGGCTTGCGCATACTTCGTTATTGACAGATCCGTTGGACATGTGGATCCTAGAAGGCAAGTGGAAGGGTAGCTAGAGTCGGATTGTGTAGAGCTGCACTACGCAGATTGAAGGCATTGCATGCGACGGGGAAGGGGGGGCGGGTGGCAAGTTGCCGGTTGAGCTCTGTAAGGGACAATGCAGACGCCGAGGATTGATATCAGCACGCTAGGACTATTGTAGAAGTGGGCTGGGCTAAACTGGATCATGGCACGAGATATGCAAAATACCCTGCATCGATTGCATTGAGTTTGAAACACGCGCTTAGTAGCGTAACTCTGCATTTGCAGAATCTGGGATGCACTATACACGTTCAACTAGGCTTCCTCTTCAAAGGGGTGCTGAGGAGTGCTTGTTGCTAAAACAGTGCCGGCACAGGCTTCACAAGGGCCTTGATTCTTCTGCATGCGGTCCCCACTGCGCAGCCGAGGTGAAGGCCCATTCACGCCGCTGATGCTGCTGACACTGTTCCGCGACCGTGACCCGGCACGAACAGCTTCGTAGCTGGTCTTACTCCTCCATCGGGGACAGATCGCACGCAAATGAAAATACATAGCGTCTCAATTTGCAGGCCTGCTCGTGTTTGGCCAGAAAGTGCATTCCTGCATTTCCTGGCAGCAAACCCACCAAATCTTTGCAATGCCTGGATTGGGTACGTCTGGATGTCGATACATTGGGAATCTGGCGCCGAGTTCAGGATACCAGAGAGAGGTTTCTACAGGCTCGTCAGGCAACGCAATGTCGCTTACAACAGATTCGTAAACCGCACCCCAGACTTTGTTATCGGCATAGTTGTGGAACTAACGGTTCGGCGCATGAACTTCACTGGCCCGTTCAAAGACCCAACAACATAGCCTCAAGGTCGGTCACTTGAAGGAGTTGTCCTTCCTCGCCGGCTTTGCCCGGCAATTAACGCTTGTTTCATCGGGAACCCACTCTCTCCAGAGACTGAAACCCCGCAGCATCATGCCGTTGAGATGTCCTTTCAACGCGTTCTAGGATGGTGAACTAACAGCTCAAACCAGAACATACCAGAATACCACCGGCCTGCTTTTCCCGAGCAAGTTGCCTGCAAAGCAAACCACTGCCACACAGAAGTCAAGAGCACGCCTAGCACTTTTAGCTGAAGCAGACCTGTACCCGGAACAGTATGCAAATCGTTGTCATAGAGCATCTGGAAACGACACCGAGACTTGGTGCAATCGAGGTGCTCTACTTGGAACTCATGTTGCCGAGAGCGCCTCCAGGCAATGTTCACCCTCCTAAAGATCCGAGCATGGTGTCCGTGAATCCTGTGATACACAGCAAGGTGTCTGTCGCACCGCTTCCTGCCTCTTCTGCAGGAGTTCCAGCTCCCTCTCTAAGTGGCTTCGCAAGTCCTGAAGGCAAGCCACCGAACTCAAGCCCTTCAGTGCGAAAACACTGGTCGTCCTGAGGGCCCTTGTAGCTGGCCTGCAGGCGACATGCCCGAAGCAGTTTAATTCGGCATCCGATTATGGTGGTCTCGGGGAAAGGCAATGTCATTACGCAAGAACTTCTGCCCCCTCCCCTGGCTCATCTCTTTGGTCACGGTGTCTATGGAGCTCCTACAGTACCGGTGACCGCCATCAACAAGCAGAGACGGTCAGATTATGGAGTTTAAGAGGATAACCGCATGACACTGTACAATGCCGCTATGGCGTGGAGTAGGGTGTGCGTGGGGTGGCTTAGGACTGAAGTATTTCGTCCAATAATGTCCAATACCAGCCTGGCTAGCATACATGCAGTTGCCATAATCGGGAACCATACGACTGCAACACAAACATCACCAATGACAATCCGTGGCATGGTCATGCCTGCCAGCGCTCGCGCTCCAGCCTTGATTGCTTTCATGTGCTTTCATGTGGCTGTGCAACGACCCTTCATGATCTGCAGACTGTGCAGCACGAGTAGGGTCGGAAGCACGCTTACTCGTAACGGTCTTGCGTTGCTTGCCTGCGGTTCTCCTTGCTTCAGTCAACATACTTAGCTGAAATTTGGTCTCTCTTCAAACCGTCTGATGTCTTGAGAGGGATTGCAAAACCGCGCTTGGTTGTGACTTTGCTTGGTGTTTTTTTCAATATGCAGGCTTCCCAGCATTTCCCAGCATTTCCCAGCCAAAACCATCTCTCCGTTTAGGGATGCCTCAGGGCTTGCCACGCATTTCTGCAAGTCTAACGTTTTGCCACCCCGCTCTGCCAAACAGATGCTTTTAGGGCTCAGGCGTTGTCCCCAAACACCTCCGTTTTGGGGCTTAGGGCTTGCCACCCAACACCTCCTTTCAGTTTAGGGTTCAAGTTTTGCCACGCAACATGCTTTCTTGACTGGGTTTTGGGTTTGCCACATCTCTCTTTCTAGCCAACATATATCCTGTTTGTAGTCCTTTAGGATCTTTAAGAGTTGCTCGACATGAGTCTTTCAGATTCCAATGGGCTCTTCCAGCCAATCTGTAGGTCGAAGGCCCCTCCAGCAGCCCATGGGCGAGGAGGAGCAGACACTCGAAGTGCGCACCATAACAAAGAAGAAGGAACACGACGAACAGAGAGAAAAAGAGATAAAACGAGAGTGGCAGCAAACTCCACAGCTCCCACCGAGCCGCTGCCAACGCATCTGCTCTTCCGCTTCGATCTGCTGCTGACGCCGCATCTGCTCGCCCAGGCGGTCCTCTGGCCAAGATCCCGCGAGACCCAAGAAACGTCCGAGATAGAACCCATCGAGCCTTAGGGCTTCGAGCGAACGTTTCGGGAGGCATATGGCGACGGCGAACTCCTGGAGTTTAGAACTTTTGGGATTTGGCTTATTTCTGCTCCCAGAGGCTTTTGGGATTTGGCTTATTTCTGCTCCCAGAGGCCTGGTGTCGTTCACGACGGGCCGCAGCATCCTCGTAGAGCTCCTCGTGCTTGGGCGGCGATCGTGGCCTGGAAAACAGGGCACCATGTTTAGGCCATTCTAGGGCGCTAGGCTCACTGGGCTCGGATGTTCACTGCGATCTCAATCTGCCTGGACGGGGATCTGGATGAACTCACTCCGGGCAGGCTCATCATCTTGCCCTCGCATGGTGCTGAAGGGCTGAAAAGTGGGCTTGTGCTTGAAGACTTGCGACTTGGGACGGCCTGCAAGCCCTGTAAGCCAAATGGAGTGCTCCGAAAGCTCGCATCAGGACACATAACTTCCTGAGCGGGCACCAAAGGGATGAAGGGATCATTGCAGCGAAGCATCAACATCACAAACACGTCTTGTACCTTCCGTGCGATCTGCCATCCCTCATTATCCCGCAAGACGTATATCACTTTGTGCACAAGAGATGGGCCGTCGCACGAATGCTCATGCTCACCGAAGCACAAACTGAGGGACTGGCCTTGAAATTGTTGAAGTTGGTTTGAAGTGCTGCGCGGTCCCTGTGGCGGTCCGCCACTAGTGGGGGCGTAGCATCTGACATGGGGGTGCAAGGCAGGGTAGGTGCTGATGCAAGCATTGGGTTGTGCGGGGTAGCAGTGGAGCCAACTAGTGTGGACATGCTGCCAACTGCTGCTGGCAAGCTGGGCTCTGGGAATTTGATTGCAGGTGGATCTGTGGTGGACTCCTGTCCATCAAGCAGGGTGGCTGTGCTTGTTTCAACTGCAGGCCCTGAATCCCCATTCGGGGGATCCAGAGTCCTGGCAGTGTCGCTGGGGCTTCTTCTTGCCGACTGCTGCGCAAGAAGAGAGCTTTTTGCTGGGGCTTCGGAAGCTCTGGGTGGAGAATGTGTAGAGACTGGAGTAGGCCAGTCGGGTGGAAGCTGAGGAACAGCTGCAGCCATCAGCCTGTGTTCAGCAGCTAGTACCAAAAGTATGTCTAGACTGTTTAGTTGAGTACTTTTTCAATCACTGTCACGCTCCTTGTCGATGCACTGTACAGATCAGACACACTGCAAGGCCCTGGTCATGAGCCTGCTGTTGTCCTCTTTGGGGTCTCGTTGGCTTGTGGACATCCACCGGAGTCAAATCTGCATGGTTCTGGTTTAAAGAGGATGCTGCAGGAAGCCCCAGGAAAAATTGCCCAATTGAATTCCGGGACTTGCCCCCAATTCTGGCAAAAATCACAGCAATGAGCGATCGTGGGGATGGTCTTGGAACGTCTAGGAGCATTGCTGTTTTGATTCAGGCTGCGAAGATCTGGCTTTGCAGTCACATCCGAAGACGCAGATTCGATTTGAGATGCTTTACAAATGTCTTCACTTTCTGCCATCAAAATCGATCAATGTTAACAGTCGCCGAGACAAAGTGTTCCTGCCTCTTTCTTGCATTTGAGCCAGTGCTCCCTGACGCACACTTGCGCACTTCCATAGCACCCCGACTGCAAGTTTCAGCTGGAGCTGTTTGAAGACACATGGATTTAAGCCTCCGTGGCTGAGCCGAGGCTCCACTCTTATAATTGGGTTTAGCCATTTCCCAACCAACCATGCAATAAACAAAGGAACATCCAGGATGAGCAAAGTACAGCAAGTAGGGACGCACAAGAAATCAGAGTTTCGGTCAGCTTCGGTCCTGGTGAGAGGCACCGCGCTGTGAGGCGGAGGAAGAGGCCCGGCGGCGGAAGCTGTGGAAGCACTGCGAGAAGCAGGGCTGTCCTGCTGGCAAGCGCGCTGGGCCCCTTTCTCTCACTTTCGGCTTTTTCGACATTTCTGCATATTCTTACATATGGCTGCATATTGCTGCATCACTGCTCTGCCGGCTTTCAGGCCTGGCCTGCCCTGGATTGGCGGGAGCATCTTGGAACACAAAGACGATGGGAGAAAGGAGTTCATGCAGCCAGAATGAGAATCGCGATCGAAGCAACTCATTGCTTTCCGCGTTGAGTATGGTTGTGCAGTATATAAGGCAAGCGTCTCAGCATTGTTTAATCATTTTGGGCATGTGGTGCTAGCTGAGTGGCCAGAGTCCACCTTGCCCTGGCGTAAGAGCAGGCTCGCCTGAGCAGCATCACAGCAGCGCTGGTCATGTGCCGGGGCAGGTGGGTGGGTGGGTTCAGTGACCCACATAATACCGACCCACCCCCAGTGCACAGAGCAAATCTCTCAACAGCTAAGCAGTTCATCAGGAACGCGCCTGCTCCAGTGTCTTGCCAAACTCACTCAAAAGGACAGCACTCCTGGTTGGGACACCCACTTGCCGATTACAGAAGACTACGGCCACCTGAAAGACATCATGCGGCAGATTGTGGCAGCCGAGGCGCTCCATCGCAGAGCCCTTCAGCTCTCTGCTCGGCAACTCCTGTCGCATCTGCAGAAATGTGCAAATTTCCCAAATTTCCCAAATTTCCCTGTCGAAATCTGCCGAAGGATGCGAGCTGGGTGCTGATACTCGAGTACTGCAGAGGCCGCGGCTGCCGTGGAAGCTGCAGACTGGGTTCGCGTTTTGGAGTCCTCCTCCTCTGACCTGAGGCAAGCGATCACGGAAGTCTGAATCTTCAAATGTCCACAGCTTTCGAACATCTTTTACGCAAGCTCTCGTACGATCTCGGCGCATCTCGGCGCCTCCAGGAGCTTTGAGGGGCGCCGGCCTCCTTGCAGTTTCAATGCTTCCACAGTGCTTCCACAGTGCTTCCAGAGTGATTCCAGAGTGATTCTGTTCTGCGCCGTGCCTTGCATCTGCTGGCTCCACCGCCACCTGCCTGTACAGGACCTGCCTGCACAGGACCTGCCAAGTCTGAGGAGTCATGTCAAATCGAGTGAACGGCAAAAGGTGCAGATGCCAAGGGAGACTCCGCTCGAAAGTAAACTCGTCTGCCGGCAAGCTCACTCCGGTTCGCCCGCCCCGGTTCGTCCGGTTTTGTACACAGCAAGATGCATTCCCAGTGTGTCACGATATGCCACAGCTGCATCTGAACAATCACAAGCGTGCTGCATGAAAGATGCGCAAGACTTGAGGTGCAAAGGGGGCCAACGAAACCTGCCCCACAGCAGAGTTCAAGAGTTCGTCCAGTCAGAACGTGTGGATGCTCGACGTGCGAAGCTGGCGGGAACTCAAGCAAGAGTGCACGCAAGCAAGCATGGTCGAGAGATGCAAGTAACTCTGCAAGCAAGCACACATGCACGAATGCAAGCACGGGTCACCAAGAGTATTGATCAATTCCAACCCCTATTTCTTGCGATCCTTTCAAGTTACAAAAAACTGTCACCGTACCACTTCGGTCGACCATCCAAAACCCAAGTCGACTTTCGAGGCACCCGAGGCTCCAGAAGTTCCCCGCATCCCCTGCAGACGATGTCTGCGCTGGAACAACCAAATTACATGCCAGCAATTTGGCCCCCCCCCCCCCGGCCGACTGAAGCTTGCTGGTTGCGTAGGCCACGTTCTGGCACAGTTGCCCGCCTGAAAGTTCCCTGGTCGCCATTTTCGAGGCCCCATTCTGATCACGTTGCACTGCGCTGCCTGAGGCTGCCTGAGGCTGCCTGAGGCTGCCTGAGGCTGCCTGAGGCTGCCTGTTGCTCGTTTGCTGCCTTGGGCTGCTGTCCAGAGCTCTGCGTTTCCCTTTCGCACGCTGTCTGCTCATGTCGGCTATCCGGAAACATGGAACAACCACCTGTTGGGTGGGGAACAAGCATAGCAGGCCTAGCTTCGTTTGCTCCATCGGCGTTTGAGAAAGGCTTCGGTGGACAGCAAGGTTGTTTACTGGTTTTGCAGTTGCTTCACCTGTTGCCTTTCCGGCCTGTCGTTGAGTCTCTGGATTGCTTGCTTTGCTGAAGTTGCATTCCACCACCCTTGCCAGCGGCTGTCCTGTGGCTGTACTGCCCTGCTGCTCGCCTGCTGTCCTGGGCTTGGACTTACTTTCGTGTGATTCACATGGGATTTTGACCACTTCGTTATCCTGAGAAGGTGCCACACACTAGTTTCCAAACATCCGCTAATCACATGAACATCACAAAAGCTCCAGCAAACATGCTAGCTCTGCCCGTGGCAGGACTTATCTTGCCCATCACCTTCGAAGCGACTCTGGGTTCAGACGTGACACAGTTGAGTGGCGAGGTACTCCAAACTCTGGGTTTGGAAAAGCTTAGGCTTGGACTGCTGCTTGGATGACCGGTGGCGAAGATCTCGAATCGGATTTTGCTGAGCTCTCCATGCCCAGACAATGACCCCGCGCCGCTGCCAGTTCTTGAGGCGCACCTGTGCAAGCTGCCAAATCATGAGCCCAATAGCTGGACGACACCGCAAAGCTACCAGCACGTCCCAAGCCAAACCGTGCAGCCCAGAAGCTCATGCCAGGCACGCACGTTTGCCAGGGAACGGCCGATGCCGGCCGTACGACTGCCCAGTTTGAGACCTGTGGCAACCATGTGCACCTAATGAACCATGATTTCGGCACTGCGCATCCCAAAACTTGCCGGCGTTGTAAGGGATTTGGCAAAGCACACGCAAAATCGTCATATTGCACAACATCCATACGTGCAAAATACACTACCACGGCTTGTTTGCTTACAACCTGCTTCTCTGCATTTCGCAAGCATTCCTTGCAGTGTGTTTGGCTCATCCGGTCGACAGACAGTCCACTACTTACCCACGCGCTCTAAACCGGCAAGCAGAGCAGCACGCTTCGCTCCATGTTATTCGCGGCGAGACAGTCCAGGTCGGGTCAGCCGGGTTTTGCGGGGAGATGCGGAGAGCAAGTCCCGCAGGCGTAGATCTGGACACCCACGCGCTGTGCGGACTGGACACAGTGATGCGGAATACTCCAAAAAAACACTCAAGGCCCGCAAGAACCCAGAGAGACAAGTCAAGATCCGACGGGAACACAGTGAAGCGTGACTTGTTGAGTTATCTGTCCCAAGGGAACGTCGTTCCGGCATCTTCTGGCAAACTCCGCAGAAGTGACAGACTTGGCCCCTGCTCAGCCCGTCGGCTATGGTATTGAGACAGTCTGGAACGCGCTCGATGTCGGCGAAAAGCCGGAACCAGAAACCAGTGTGCCGCGGCAAAAACGGAGACAGGCCCGCAGCAAGAGACAGGCCCTTTCAGAAGACAGTTGTCACAACGACGGCGAACGTCCACCAGGCAGCAATGAAGCTTTGTGCGGCTTCAGAGAGCTGGAACCCGGGAGAGTGCACCAAAAAGCACGTAACTAATTGAGTGACAAAAGAAGAAAGCGTCCAGCCCTGCCAAGAGGTCTCGAAGTAAAACTTGCTGTCACAGTAATGCCACAGGAGCACGTTCGATGGATTCAATGAGCAGCCCTTTTTGAAAATTGCTTGCTGTCTCACTCTTGCCAGTGGTTTGCAAAGTACACGACGGTACTCATCGCAGCGCATGCCATTGCAGCTCATGGCCTTGCTTTATGACCCGTACATGCGGGTGTCCACATCACAACTGTGGTCGGACTTTCCCACTTCGGTGGCATTGTTGTTGTGCCATTCTGACTGGCAAATCAAAGGGCTGTCTGCGGATTTGACTCGTTGCTGGCCTTCCATTTTGCAGCTGACCATGCATTTGCTGCGTGCAATGGGTCAACGAGGTGGTCACGGCATGTGCGGATATCAGAGCTGCTCACCCTGACGTACCTGCATCTTGCAGACCATAGCATAGTAGTGTTTAGCTGATACTTCGGCTGGGTCTTTGCAAGCGAGCAGGCATGCGGCTGCCTCAGCCTACACAAGAACATTCAATCTCAGGAAATGGACGAATGCAGTACAGGCACATGCCACAACAGAAAGCAATTTCTTTTGAACGTTGTAACGTTGCCGTTGTTGTTGCTGCTGCTGCTGTGCCGTTGTTGCTGCTGCTCTTGGCGGAAGTGGTGGGGTGCTGCTGCTGCCGCTGCCGCCACTGCTGCTGCAGTAGTTGTTGCAAACCGATGTTGTTAAACGTTGTCATGCTTGTTGCTGGTTTTTGGTGTGTTCTGCTGTTGGTTGCCGTTTGCTGTTGCTGTTGCTGGTGGCGTTGTGTGACTGTTGTTGGTTGTTGCTGTTGTTGGGTATTGTTGGTTGTTGTTGATTGTTGTTGCCTGTTGGTGGTGGTTGTTGTTGATTGTTGTTGCCTGTTGGTGGTGGTGGTTGTTATTGATTGTTGTTGCCTGTTGGTGGTGGTGGTGGTGGTGGTGGTGGTGGTGGTGGTGGCGGCGGCGGTGGTGGTGGTGTGTGGATGCGTGAATTAGCGAAATAAAGAAGATAATAAAGGGGAAAATCTGAAGATAGTTTTCGTACGGGCGTGCTCTCTTGGCTCACGCTGTTCATCCTATTCACCTCACTTGCTCATCTTCATATCCTAACAACAGGGCTAGGTAGAAGATATCGAGTGAAGAGGGTGAACAAACGCGAAAGCGAAGTGAATTCGTGAACAAGCGAACGCAATGACCGATCGAACGCAAAAATGAGCAGGCGCACAACCTCACCCTACCTAGATCTGCTACGTTCAGTGATTCTGAAAGCAGGCAAGCCACACTTGCCACACTTGAAGTGTTCAAGCTGCCCGTGGAAGCGCGCGCTCTCACGGATCCATAGGCTCCTAACAGCGTACACCGGCAAATGGCACCCACGTCTACCACTTCTGGAATCAAGAGACCATTACAGCATGTCACGTCAAGGGTTTCAGAAGAGCCTCGTTGTTGTTTTTTGGGAGACATGCAACCCAATGGTCCAGTTGTTTCGAGAAACCCTGCAAGCAGTGGGTTTCCAATTTGTTTGCAAGCCGTGGACTTCGTATGGAAACAGTTCGGAAGAGCTCGGACTCTACGGTGTTGCTTTGAGACAGTTTCGTGTTCTGGCGGTTCAGACTTTTTGGAACCTGGAGAGGAGTTCGATCCTCTTGCGAGGAGTCAGCGCATCATGGACCGGAACAAGACCGGGCTCTTGGATTTCAGAAAGAACCAAGTAAACCAAGTCTTTAGTAAGAGTTTGAACCCAGCCTTGATTCACCACGTTCACCGGCTGAAGGGTGTTCGCACTGCTCATGCGTAACCTGCACACGATCCATGAGCTGCGACAGTTTCCTACCATGATCCAAGAAAGATCTTGCATATTCTTGCATCCAGGTGCAGCACATCACCGGTGCTCTTGGCGTGACCGGCCGTGCCGGCACCGAAGGCGCCTTGGGATCTTGTGCAACTATCCCGTTTCCCTTGCCTCCCGCCTTGCGCATGTGAAAGCGAGGACGAACCAACGCCTAGGTTGTTCAAAACAGTGGGTTTGAGCCGTCAGCCCGTCCGCGGCAAAGTGGGCAAGTTCCAACCTGACTTGTCAAACAGACTGTAAATGGGCAAACTCTGGCTGCTGTATTAGCTCAAAGTCTGTGCTTTGTGGGATCTCTCTGAGGCTGCCGCTGCGAGCCGTGCGGACGCAATGGAGTTGGACCTGGGATGGCAAATCCAACTTATGTGGCTCCCTCATGCACCTTCAATAGGCACATTGTAGTCAAAATGTTTGGTCCGACAACACGACTGCAGACTTCTTCTAGGTTGCTTGCCAAACATAGGAGGCACCTCCGCAACAGCACCGGAACGGCTCTATCCAACAAGCTGAACGACATGAACTGCCTAATGAGTACGAGTACATTCTTGTTACGAGATCCACATATTCTTAGGCCAAGATTGGGGTAAGAGGATGGATGGGTCGGCCTACTGCCGCCTTGGCCGAGAGCCTCCGGAAATGACATCAGCCACCCTCCGACAACAGTTCGCGTCCCTGACTGGCCACCCGCTGTCAGCGGCTGTGAACTCACAAATGCCCGCACAGACGCCGAAGCGCACAAGCCAGACGGCAATGGGTAAACACATGCACCCACCAAGCTTCGTTCCAGCCCAGCACCCTTTAGGCCCAAGCCAAGAAGCTTCCGGAAACGGCCCAGCATGAGTGCCCCATACAGTATCCGCTGAAAGAACTCGCCAACATGGCAACGCTTTAGCAGCCGGAAGTGGAGACAGCCGGTCTTAGTGTAAGAGATAGACAGGGACTGACCCAAGGCATGCGTTGAAATGGTCGCTTGTTTGACCAAACCCATGACCGCAGGTGGGCATTTTCACCCAACAGCTCCACACAGCTCCGAGGTAGTTTCGCAGTTTCGCCAAGGAAACGGCTCACAATAAAAAAACTGCTTCGCATGTCACGTGCACTACGTGCACTCTACATCTTCCCAATGTGATGCATGGGCTCGGCCCGGGATCGTAGGATTTAAATTAATGTCGGTACAAACCGCCCGAAAAGACACGAAAAGACTGGCAAGCCTCGATGGACGTCACTGCCGGCGCCAGCTCGTGCTCCGCAGATCCGGCAAACAGGTTCTGCAACTGCCTGGAGAACGGGATCACACAGGAAGAAGGTGCCATCATGTATCATCAGAGCCAGAGTCCCATGCCGGCACGTTATCACTGAAGCTCAGACACAAGCCTTCAAGAACCTGCATGAACGGCTGAGGTCAGTACACGAGCTGTCCACGGTGCTGAAGCCTGGCGTCTTCCAAGACTTCTTCTAGCCCAAGTTCCTGCTGGCTGAAAGATGTCGAAAGCCTGCATCTCAAATCAGGCTGCATGTTGCAGCCGCTGACTTGGAGGGGCCGTGCACCATGGTAGCGTTAGATTTTGCGTACTTATGCACGTCATGATCGTCATGATCGTCATGATCGTCATGATCGTCATGATGCCAAGCGTAACAGTGCAGAAGAGCTAAGAAAAGTTGTTGAGTAGTTGTGATAGGCAGTGCCTACAAGGCAGGAATCATAGCACAAAGGCGATTGCAACCCTGGTGCTTGCTTGGCCACATGGCTTCCAATCAGTGCTCCTTCGAGCCAAGACCATAAACTCCTGCACATGTGGGCCATGCATGCAGCATGCATGTTGTCACACATGTCACATTGGCTCTAAACTGCTCTACAGTTCTTTAGACGAGGCGTGGGGTCTTCCTGGGGAGCTTAACCTTCTGATGACGAAAACTCGTCTGGGTGGTTTGGCATAAGTTCTCACAAGTATTCAGTATTGTGCAGCATTGCACATCACCGGCCCTTCCGTGTATCCAGCGAATGCATCATGCAGATTCTTTTTTGAAGCATGCTGAACCCCAACATGTCCCCAGTCGTCAATGAGTTCAGATGGACACAGCCCCCTTTAAGATCTTTAAGCGAGCATCCTCGATCATCGAGAATAGACCAGACAGCTCGCTGCAAGTACCAACAGTCACGGCTCCGGCCACTCCCTCCACTGTACAGGTGAGGATGGAGTAGCTTGTGGCGCAGACTCAGCCAAGGGAGATGTCATGACAACATCATGAGCTGCCACGAAGTACCTCACTCCGAGTTCCAGCTGTCTTTGTTGCCAAATTTGCCAACTAGTACAAATGGCGTCTGCCTGTCTCACTGGCTGCCGAGCTCCCTGCTGAAAGTTCGGCAATGATTGCCTCCAACTCCTGCTGGTATCTGCGAACCTTCTTGCCGGGCAGGAGACTGAGAGCGACTCAAAAGAATAGCAAAAAAAGTTGAATCCGCCAAAGTGCAGAGACGCCCAGAGGCATTGCGGAATTGCCGTTTCCCCCCATGCTGAACCCGGTGACCCGCACCCTCTTTTCCCTCCTCCAACCTGCCATCTGCCACCACAACGGCAGCTCTCCACTTAACATGAAAAAAGCTCTACTTTTGTCAGCGGGCCGTGCGTTAGCCTCTGTAGCGGGTCCAAGCTGCAACATGGCGTGGTTCCTGACGTTTCCTGGTGGTTGTTGAAAATTCCTACTCCTTTGCATCCGTGTGGGTGCGGTCTTTGCTGCGACAGATATGGAGGTTGTTCTAAGTTCTGACGTCCGCGAGGCGGCCTCGCGCTAGCGCTATGACAACAAATCATGGCATGAAATCATGGGCGAAGGATGGGCTGCTGCAATCTGCAAGCCTCATTCTCCCGAGCTTCCATTGTCCGTCGCAAAGTCAGAACCTGCAGCATGGCATCGTCTGGAACGTTGGGCTTAATGAAGGCACGGTGCCTTGAACAGTCCGAGAACTTACTTAAATTCTGCATTGTGTTCACACAAGTCTGCAAGCTACCACCCACAAACCTCAGAGCGGGAACAGGCACAGGGGCCACAGGGGGCCAAAAGAAAAGCTAATCCCTGCGCTGGGCTGGAAAGCAAGGAGGGCTTGCAGGGAAGGCCGTGCAATGGAGTGCCAGGCGTACGCACAACATCACAGAATATCCGAATGCTATGCGAATGCCATGCGGCTTTCAATGTTGCAGTCTATGTGCAGACCCGCGTGCCCTGTAGAGCGCGAAATCGGCGCTTCACCAATCTCATTTAGGAGCAAAGAAGCAGCAACAAGAACTCATAGGGAAAGGACAAGAAATGCATGTGCGCCCTGGTGGATCCAGCGCACTCTCCGTCGCTGAATGCTGGCGGATGCCGACAGCTTGAACTTGTCAACTTCAACGGTCCCAAGTCTCAGCCCGAGTTCTTCCAGTGAGCTTCCAGTCGAGAGAAGGTTCGAGAGCGGGCATCTCCCTCAACGCTTGCTGAACGCGAGGTAACATAGGTTGCGCGGCATGACTGGCATTGGGGATCCTGGACCGCACCCTTTCATGCACTTTCGCTCGCAAAGTTCTAGGATATTGCACTGGCACTGCTTAGATGCCCTGCCAAGCAAACACTCCACGGAATGCCAATTCTGACAGTGGCTCACAACTCTGGATCACTTCTCCGACTCTTCCCAACTTGAGCCACTTGCCTCGTGGCTCTTCACGTCCAGCTCGGCACGCAAACTTAGCTCAGCTTTTCGGGCTCCAGCTTCCATTGCAGCCTGGACAGAAGCGAAACGCCTTTCAGCAAGTCTTGCAACCGTCCCATACGTGGAGAAAGTGGCTCAGGGCCTGTTGCTCCAGCACGCGACTTTCTAGGAAGGCCACCTCCCCCTGCAAGCGACGCACCTCAGTTCAAGCTGCATTGTGGTATGGATACTCCATGCCAGTCCGACGATCCTTGCTATTTTTATTTATTTTTGCTTTCTTATTTCTCAGACGTGGATCATGTTTCACGCGCCGTGTCGGGCAATCACGAATGAAATGATTTGCCGAGGGCAAAGTTCATGATACGACAAAGGATCAGACGATTTGTCCAGGCTCAAGCGAAAGCTCTGCGACCTGGAAGCATGACAAAGAGTGCAAGCAGTGCTGCGCACTGCAAACACAAGTCCAAAAGCTACTTGTAGCATCTCAGGCCTGCAAGGCTTGCTTCTCACAGCGAGCCTAATAAGCTGAAGCTGAGCCAAGCAAGGCTTCGCATGAAGCAGACAACGCTCCTTCATGATGAATGACATATACCTGCGGCCTCCAAGGTTTTCAGCTGTCCTCGAAGAAGAGTGCTTGCAGCTTTGGCCTGCGGATACGTTTGCAACGTCCTCATATGTCCTCATGCTGCTGGCGACACGAATGGCGACATCACTCAGCCTCCGAAAGTTCGTCATTGAGCAAATCCTGACGTAGAGGCTTTGCTAACCTTGCTGGCTACCCCCAAACGAAATGTGACGATGCAATTTACTGAAGACATGATGCTCGTGATCCGCAACTGTCCTTCTCGACTTGCAGATGCTGCGAGGGTGCGCACGCGGGTGAAATCGTCGGCTGTGTAGCTTGGGATGCCTGCACCGACATGCTAGCATTGCCCAAGAACAATCTTGTGGAAGCCCGCGTTTGTGCATTTTTCATTGCAAGTGTCATATTCAAGATGCCGGCCTTCTGGGCGGTCCGAGTACAAACCGGCACCCCAACCTGCGCCTCTCCGCTGAACGCAAGCTGATCCACTGAGTCATCCAGTCGCGAACCACATGTCCCCCACCCACAGACATGCTTGCATGCGCTGGATGCGTCTGCACTTACAGAAAAGCTTGCAAGGATTTTGAGCGATGAACAGGCCCTCAAGTACCAGACGGTGTACGTCAGGGCATTACATAACAAACTGGCAACAGTATCTGCCCCCCCCCCCGTGGGGGGATGCTGAGTGGTGCGAGCGATGGTTTGAGGAATGTTTGGGGTCAATGAGAACATAGTGTTCCCCCAAACGGCCCAATGGGCCCAAGGGACTTGTGGTTGCCTCACCCGCCCATCACCATTAAGCCACCCCGGCCCGCAAACCTCAGGCGTCCATCAACCCAACCTTCCGCCCTGCTCACCTGTTGCCAAAACAAGTTTTGAATGCCTGGTACGGAAGTTGCTAAATGGTATCTTGAGCCGGATATGGAGAGGTTTCGCATGGTCGTTGGAACAACCAGTGCTCATCACTCCATCAAGGATACACCAGCCTGCCTCATCGACAAGGTCAGGGGCGAGACACTGTAAAAAGAGAGGGTAGCACACCCACTGCAAGTCGCCTGCACATAGCTAAGCGCGCCATCCTAAGGCTCTGATTGCTGTTGAGCTACCCCAGCCTGGTGGAGTGAAGAGGGAGGCAACCTGCTGCCTGACCAACAAAGTCAAAGGGGCCACGGGGCCAATGGGTACTGCAACAGAGCAATGATGTCAAACGATGTCAAACGCTGCACATCTAGCCTCTCTTCCGCTGACAATGCGCACGGCAGAGCACGTAGCGCTTCTGTGAAATCACCTTGCCCAAGGATGATACGAGCACTCATGAGCACTGTCGAAAATGCCAAGGAAGGCTCATTTTGGGGATCCAGCTTCTCTGGACAAACCCAGAACGGGCACTGTCCAACTGATGGATGGATGCAAAAGCACCGTCCCTGTGCACATGAACGGTGAAGGTGATCCACTCTGAGCATCTGCGATGCGAATTTCCAACACCTGGACGAGAGCTGCAGCCGGGCCAAAGCCTGCAACACATTCGCTGAGCATCAGACAGAAAGGCAGTTGTCTAACACTCTGAGCTCGGCACCTTAGTGATGTCGACCTGAACTGAATACATGATACATGATACATGAGACGTGATACGTGATACGCGATACGTGCTACATGGTACATGATACATGGTACACGGCACATGGCACATGGTACATTACATGATACAAGATATATGATACGTGTGTGCGTGTGTGTGTGCGGACGCAAAAAGAATCTTTTGTTGCAGGGGGCATGCCGGTCTTACCCCAGCCATGCCAACGAAGCTATGGGAAGTGACCGGAAGGGCAACAGGACGCAGTTTCCTGTACTGCATTAGCCATAGTGGTCGCCAAAACAATCAATGTACATGTCAGTCATGTGCCTGACAGTTGTGCAACATGTCAGTTGTCGTTGTGCTTTGCTTGTGCACGAGTTGGACAAGCCACAGATCACACACACACACATGTTCAACTAATTCTGTCGGGGTCAGCAATACAAGTGCGCAAGTGCGGCAGTGGGTAGGTAAGTAAGTAAGTAAGGAAGTAAGTAAGGAAGTGTGTTTGTACGAACTCAGCGAACTCGTTCTAACTCGTTCTGGTTCGTGCTCCTCAATCCACGAAGGCACCGTCTCTGTCGACAACTGAGTGTGCGAAATCTGACATGCATTGATTTGCCTGTATCTTCAAGTCAATGATTTCAAACTTTGCACGGACCTTTCGCAATTGCACTGTTGTCTGAATCTGGGGGTAAGGACTGCAAAAGGAGCCAGATGTCAAGAAGAGGAAGAATCGAAGCTATCCAAACAACAGTCTCAAGTTCGTCATATGCACAGCCGGGGCCTAGGGGTGCGGGGGTCCCATTTGCAAACATAATCATGGGGGGGTACGCGGATTGAGACACAGAGTGAAAAATGACAGCTTCAAAGTATACCAAGCAAGGGGCGTTGGAAAGTTGTGTCGTTTACAAGGCGAAATCCAACCTTTGGCATCTGGTGGTAAGAGTTCGGTTTCTGCTGTGCAGGGGTTTCGTTACTAACCACAGAACTCGACGACCTCAGATGCCTTCAACACCCATGCTTCGCATAAAGCCGCCAGAAGAAGAGAAGATTACGTGACATGCCTGGGGCACCCATGCTTCTAACGAAGTTTCCCCGCGAAAAGAATGGCTGTACTTGTACTGATACTTACTGAGATTAGGAAAACAACCTTTCAAAACCCATGCGCCCATGCCTGCAAAAAAAAACTAGAATTATTTACTTCGATCATCTGCACCCCAAGGCCCCAAAACTAACAAATTCCCTGATGCGGCGCTGGGATGTCTCCAGGCTCGGCGGGACTCTCCGCGGGATTCTCTTGGCGTGGGCACTGAAAATGTTCGGCATGCTCTGCACTCCAGGGATACTCGGGAGTCTCTGCTGGACTCGGGACTTTCTGGTCGCGGAACTCTCTGCGAAGTTCAGACCTGGCTAGGGAAAGAAGATGACCTGAAATGCCGTCAACACAAGCAGAGGCTCATGCAAACTTGCCAGCTGTTCACTGTGGAGAGAAGGAAGCATGTCGAAAGTGTTGACAGTTACAGGGCTCCGGGAGAAGAAAATAAGAAGCGAAAACACAATTAGCAGGAGGCGAAAACCCCACCCTTTGCAAACCATCAATTTTGGTGTGATGAGAAATGGCGGGTGTGGGCACGTTTTCGGCAGGCATACTTGCAGCAGCCCAAGCAAAGACTGCAAGCAATGTTGTAATTCACAGCATTTGGAGCTTGTCAGGTGTTGTTATTTACGCGCAATTTACAGCATTTGGAGCTTGTCAGGTGGTGTTGTTATTTACGCCGAGTTTTGAGCTTCTGAACTTCAGAAATGTTGAACCTTGCAGCATTTGGATCGTGTATCTTTGGCTAAATAAGTTAGCATTTAGAGCCTGCGAACAGCCAGAAATGCTGAGGCCAACGTTGGCAAAAAAAACAAGCCAATGCTCATATGATGGGTTTGGAAAGCTGACAAGCCGTTGACGACACGACATTCTCTGAAGCAAGTTTGCATAGCCGAAAGGAGCCGTGGGCTTGGGCTCGAAGCCTTCAACACCTATGCTTCGCAGGTGCCTGCAAACCACTGCTTTAAGAACATTCCCCGAAAATAATGTGACGATGTTCCCGACCTTACAAGCCTGCCGCACTTAACCTTGGAATAAACTCGTCGGAAAAAAACCTTTGAGGCCGTCAATGCCCACGCGTTAAACATTTCCGACACAAAGGGACATGACCTTAGACCCCTGCAACGCCCATGCTTCGAATGAAGCTTGTTAAGAAAACAAAAGGTGCCCGTGGATGCCTTCAACCCCACCTTCTATTCAACCCTCCAGATAAACTAGGGGATACTGTACATGCCTTGAAAACACATGCTTCTAGCAAAATTCGCCGGGCATCTTCTCTGTTTTTCTCACGGAGCTTACTAGAGGAATGGGCGCAACATGAATCTATGGTCATCCTCTGTTTTCTTTCTTGGAGGATTTATTGCTGGCTGGTGGGAAATGGGAAGGGGGGGAACGGGGGAAGGGGAGGGGGAAGGGCGGTTAGGCGCAGTTGATCTGCTAACGCACTTGAAAAATCTATATAAGCCGCAGGCATTGGCTGATGGCGATGGACGGACGGAAGTACCTTCAGCCGATTGCCGACCCATCCCTCACACAATACCCCAGCGATTGTCAAATCCACACTGCTGAGCACTGGCATCCTAGATCATCCTATGCAAGTTCAAGCCGTCTCCGCACCTCATGTTCTTAATTTCCTGGCCTTGCAACAGCTGCCTGAGCTCGTCCAGAGAAACACTGAAGTCAAGCGGAGCAGCCTGACAACACCTCAGCAAACGCAAAGTTGCAAACCCGCTTGAAAGTATTGTTCGCAAAAAAACTGCAGAAACGATCGTTTGATCCATTCACCATACGTTTCTTTTTCCTGCTCTGCTGCGCGCGACTCAACTCATCTCCGCCAGTTTTTGCTGGTGGAATGACTCACCGCACAGGCCCCGTCGAGTTGGTAATTCCACAAGACCCAGCTGCCAGATCCACAAAGCCTGATTCAGGAAGTGCTTTTGACATTTTCCATCATGACTTCAGGTCAAGAACAGGCTAACCCGGTCCGACTTCTCCAGTACAGGCTGATGAAAAATCTTGATTCTTGACCCACTATGTGCCGATCCACAGCTTCCGACTTCCTGTCTTGCTTCTTGCTTCTGAGGTGCAGTTGGCTGGCACAGCTGGGTTGTCACCAGCAGGTACTGAGGGCTTCCAGCTGCATCTAAAGGCATCAGAACCTCAGAGCAGAGTGACGTTTTCGCTGCCCTCGGACAGCGGGCCAAAAAGAAGAGGCAAGTGTGAGATGTGTAGCATGCATGATTGCATGATGCATACGACTGCAGCACAATGCAGCACATGCAGCGACCTCTTGGACATGGCGAGACCCTGAGCCAAGCCTAGAAAGCGCGCCGGGAGGCCGGAGTTCACCTTGTGGCTTTCACAGATGGCCGCCGTCTTGTGATCATCACAGGTGGCAGTCATAAGAAGACCTCAAGACTATCATTTCAGCTCTACTGTGGTTGCAGGAATACCATGATCATCACTGCATCCCAAAAGAACACAAAACTTACAAAACCAAGTCTCCCGTGCAATCAGCTCGAACTGACTGCTCCTGAATCTCTCCTCACAGGAATGCACTGGTATCAGTACCGGTCAGGATGCAAGAACAGCTCCATCCACTCCTCCATCAGTTATGTCACAAGCATGAAATGTTCGGAATCAGCCTTCTTGCAATCGAGTAAGACTTGCCTGCACAAGCCAATTAAGGTGACACGTATCACGCAGCTTTGCAGTGCCTGGTGGGACATCGCTGCTTTTTAACGGACACCGTACACATGGCATTCCTTGAGTAGTTGGCAAATCAAGACCTAGCAGTTGTTGCTTGCGTGCCAGGCCGACAATAGTTGGGGGACGAAGATGCTTCTTCGAATCTGAAGCCTCTGGTCAACTCTGGCAAGAAGGCTGACGTTCTGATTGATTCTGCCTCGCGTCTGACCATGGAGGCACCAGCATCGTCTTCGGCACCACGGGCATCCACCACTATCCTCAAATACTGTGCATTTGAGGACCAGTTATGCAGAATGAACTCCTGAAGACTTTCAAAACAACACCTGCTTCATCTGACAATCAAGGCCAGCAGTCTGGAGCATGGCACTGACTAAAATGCAAGTCTCTGTTGCCGACCCACGTGTGCATAACTTCCTCGGGTCCCATGTGCACGGAGCATGCTGCACATGGTAATGTGTTCAGTAAGGCGGGCCCCAGACTCACAACCAGCACCACTCCCAACATCGAAGTCAAGCGCAGCATTCAAATCGAGCGGAGAGCCTCAGAATCCGTCAGAGCCAGTTCTTCAGCAAGTGCAATTACTTCGCAGCCGGGTCACGGCCGCTTTCACGGCCACAAAGCTCTTTGGCCCCGAGAGATGGACAATGCAACTTGGCAAACTTCTTTGAGGTCAACTGGCGGACACTAGCATGCTGGCATATGCCAAGCAGACCCCGCTAGAGCCGATGCCAAGTCCAAGAGAAGCTGCAACATGGTCTGAGAAGTGTCTGATATGTTCTGATGACTGCCTGCAAAACATCTGCAGCCTCTCTGTCCATGCATGCTTCGCTGCCTCGGGAATCTCGGAACATCTCAGCACCAGCATGACTCTTTTGGATCGCAGCTACTCCGCAGGAGATGAACTGTCTCCCCATGTGCTGCAAGGCCCGGCCTGAAGCTTCTGAGATCACACACACACACACAAACACACATTGGCGTCATCTTGCGTCACTCATGTGCAGTCAAGACCAGCAAAGTGCAGTCACAAAGGAGGCGCACATGCTTGTCGCTATGTTGGCGCAATATATGTCGTGATGTGTCCTTCCTACTGCACCCTGACCAAATTGATCTTTTTGTATGTATTTCAAGAAGAAAGACCTGAGGGAGAAGATGCTCTGTGCAAGCACACACCTTGTTACAAGATCATGCTAACTGAGTTTTTAGGGTTGTTTTGGGGCCGAACATAACTACATCCAACCCGCGGATGCCAGTTCAATGCGACTTGCCCAGAGTTACAAGCCTTGCTTCCGCCGTTTTCCTCTTGTCGGGATGAGCACATCTGAGACATCGCAAAACTCCCCCCCATGGCCCCCGCCAGGCGAGGGTCCCCGCCCCAAGGCGAGCATAAACCGAGTCCCTCTCTCCTACGAAGCCCAACTTACCCAAGCCTGGACCAGATTCACCAACCATGACCCAAGCCACCCGGCTCTCATTCCGCCTCTGTGCGAATTCAAGCCCCCTCTCTCTCTCTGTCTCTCTGCACGCTTGGCCCCCCCCGAAAGAGGAGGCCGCCCCGAAGGAGCGCAACTCTCTCCCTCTCTCTCTCTCTCTCTCCTTTTTCTTCTGCTACACAGCGAAGGCACCCCCCCCGAAGAGAGGGCACCGGCCCCTGATGTACCATACGAGTTATCTGGAGCATCGCAACTGCACAGCCCCAACACGACACAGAGTTGAGAGTGTAAAGTGCGCATTGAAGTGGCCGACACCAAGTTTATCCAGCAAGCCAGCAAGACAAGGCCAGCTACGTAGCACACTGCGCGCATTGTGCATTCGGCATTGTGCCTTGCACTTCTTCTAACCAGGTTACGTGGTGCGCTCGAGCTTCGGCCCCTTGGATTTCTGCCACCTGGCCACCTGATGCTATCATTGCTATCCAGGGGCCGAAATGAAAGTACAGTCCTTTTCGAAAATCTGCACTTTAAAGAGGGCAAGAAAACACGTCACGTCCAGTTTCTGCATCTGGGCGGTAGCAGTTAAGCAGCTTTGTAAATTTTACTAGTAGCCATCGTAGCTTCTGCTACATGCAGGCACCGTCTCCCGCCAACCCACCCAACCCTGATCCGCCTTTCCTTCGCATCTCCACTCTCATTCTTCTCAACACTTCCTCCGACCCTCTCGGCCCTGGCGCCCTGGGGTAGTTGTCTTGTGCCGTGTATGCGAAGACTGGCCGACAAAATTTAAGTGAGCCATCTTGTCATGTAACTCTCAGCGCAAGCTAGATGACGCCTGTATGCAGATCTGGAGTGCAAACTGACATGCCTCACAAGCAACAGAACTCCACCTTCTCGTCTAAGAAGCACTCTGCAGGTATCGCGGGTTCATCACCGTGATTCGGTTCCTCAGACTTCGACTGAAGCATCAATACAATCAGCAGCAGCCTTCAAAGCAGAGGCAGGCGCAGACTTCTTCCACGTGCATCGGTAGAAGTCGGCTCCTGACACGGCAACATGCAAGGATTTGCCGAGCACGCCAAACTGTCATGCGCAGGCAGGCGCCTTTCGGGGCCTTGTGACTCTCGCAAGCTGCAGCACTCTGCTGCACTTCCTGCCCCAAGGCTTTACAATACGGCTTCAAGCGACAACACCAATCTGACAGACTGACAGGAGAAGCCAACTGCAGAAAGCAGTAGTCCAAAGCAAAGCCATTGGCCCACACAATCTTGACATCACGTCAAGCTGCCAAGGAATGTCCAGCTGCAGCAGAGCGTCTGTGCTGGTGCATTCATTGGCCTCTTTGAGCCCAGTACAGTCATCTCGAAGCTTGCGAACCTCGCAAGCCCGAGTGAAAAACCAACGTCATCTACAAATGCATTGGTCAGAATCCGAGTGTGCGTCCTCCTTGCCCCCAAATCGAGCAGCGTATTTGGATGCGTCGGACTTACTTTCGAGCACGCACAACAGACATGGAAGCAGTACCAGGAGTTTCGCTCAACAAGTTGCACGCGATTGCGAGCCAGTCGCAGAAAGGTCCCCATCTTCTAGACTTGCATCGCTATGAACAGCTGCATCGCCAACCTGAGTCATTTCACAACTTGGGGACACCATGAGCTGGCGTGGCCATCACCAAAACAACAAGAGCTTTGAAGGAACAGCATATGACAGCATCCATGAACTTGCAGACAGAACAGGCCAAAGTTCGCCAATACCCGCAATGGGACGACATGGTTCCAGTGTGTAGCCCGCCTCCCGCCGCATGACACCTGTCTCTTTGCTCATGCCCGTCGAGGAAATTTCCATCCTGGATCTTCCAGAAGCATCTGTCTTCGAACTCTCAACACAAGCTCCCTAGAGATCTCCAAAATGAAGCTTTTCCGTCGTAGCGGCTGATGACGTCTCTCAGGTCCTCGTGGTCAGCTTGGTCCGCGACTATACTATGACCGATCACACATCTCATCTCGCCTGCTGCATCGCACGCGCACAGGACCGCTGCCGCACACCAGATTCGCGGATGGATCCTGAAGCCCAGTTGATGTCGGCATAACAAATTCATGAGGTCCTTGCCAAGTATCTCGTACAGCTCCTTTACTTTTCATGCACTTGATTGAATCCACACTACTGCTGCAAATCCGCTGCACACCTGGGCACAAATTCTCTCACAATGATAATGCGATGTGCAGGCCAAGGTACATGTATTTCATGAACGATATGAGGATTGCCAGGCAACGGCTGCAACTCTTGAGCAAAAGCCCAACATGTGCCTCCACCTGTATGCCAGACCGGCTGCAGCGAAGCATGGCAAAATGCTTTCAGGGACTGATAACCAGATATGTCTGTGGTTTTCATGTACACGAAACGAGTTCCAAGCCATTTCTCGTGGAGTAATTTCTTGCGCAGTCAAGCAGTCGAAAGATGTCCGAAGCCTAGAGTCGTGGTATGTTTTGGGGCCCGGCGAATCCAGCAGACCACAAGGCACACCAGCGCGAGCCAGCACGGCCTCAGGGAGCGCAAGAAGAATTGAAATGAGTTGAAACAGCTTATAACAGCTTGTCAAATCACAAGCAACTGCAGGAAACTCAGCCTGACACTAGCAATTGGTTCCACGGCAGCCTGTGGTCCAAGCCTGCCTGGGTTTCAGCATCTCGTAGTACCTGGCTCTGCAAGTCCGAGCCGCTGATTCCCACCTGTCAGACGCCATGGCCAAGAATGACTGCATTGCAGGACATGGACTAGTCATGCTCACCAGTGCCTCGTGAGGACCAGGATGTGCCGGTCTGGCTGCATACACAAGCCACCGCTGGATTGCACAAAATGCCAACATAGCGAATGCTTCCGGCGAAGCTAAGAAGAGCCGCAGGAAGGTCTTTGAGCAAGCGGGATCTTTGCAGAGATCCGGCAGCTGTGCTTGGATAGGCGGCGAAGCCGGCGAAGCAGATGCTTGGAGCAATTCCTCTATACGATCTTCATGTGCTTGCAGCTGCATCTGCAGCTGTTGGATGTGCTGGAGGTGTCGGGCCTCACTGTGAGCGTGGTGTCCATGTCCACTATTCAGAGCAGCCGGCTTGCTAGCCTTAGATGGAACCAGCGGCTCTCTCTTGCGAAGTTTGCTAAGATAGTACGACTTTGTGTGTTCAACCTGCCGCTCCAGATCTTTGATTCTGGCTTGTAGAACGGCTTCACGGTCTGGTGCTGCACGCTTTGGCGGCTTTGGCTCGTCTATCTCGATCACTCGATTCATGGATGCCCGTCGCTCGTACTCGTGCCGCATGTGATCGTATTGTGCTCTGAGTGCTCGGATGCGGCGATCATAGAGCGCATCTTGTTCTGCGAGCTGAGCCTCCAACTCCACCACACGCCCTTTCAGCTCGCTAAGCTTGCGCTTCTCTTCAAGAGGCGGCTCGCAAGCTTTGATGAGTGCCAGCAGGCTGTCTGGATGACGCTTGCGAAGGCATTCGTGCAACTCCTCGTTTTGCTTTCGAAGTTCTGCAATCTTTTTGCCAGCCTCTTTGGCAGGACGCTTGCGAAGCTCCGCATTCTCGCCTAACGCCGCCCGCAGCTCCTCCCCAAGCCGTAAGACTTGCCGGCGGTCCTCTTCCATCTCTTGCTGACCCTGTGCATAAAAAACAAGTTTGGCCTGCAATTCGGAAACTTCACCCTGGCTCTGAAGAAGCCTTGCTTCGGCTTGCTCCAGTTCTGCACTTTGAGCTTTGGGCAAGGGGCCGCTTATGACTTCCCGTTCCAGTTGCCGCTTTGCCTCCCTACATCTCTCCAGCTCCTTTGCATGTTCATCAGCTCTTTCCTTAACTGCCGCAAGTTCACGTTCCAGGTCGGCAAGTCGAGCCATGCTTGCTGGATTGACATCAGCACTGGCTTTAGCTGCATTCAACTCAGCAACAAGTTGTAACTGCCGACCATCGACTTCTTCACGCCTTAAGCGAGCTCCTTGACGAAGCTGACGATTCTGATTCGCTAAGTTCTCGTTTTCTTTCTCACAGGCACGGAGCATCTTCTCTGCAAGCTGAAGATCTGCTTCAAGCCTCGCGGTGTCACCACGACTGTGCATGTCCGGCACCTCCTGCAAGTTCGGCTGGCCTCCAGCTTTGTGTAGCACAGCTTCCAGGTCCCCGGAAAGCACATCTCGTTCTTGACTTACCTTCGCAAACTCCTCCTGTAGATGAGCTACCTGCTCCAGCAGCATGGCGTTTTTGCCTCGGAAGCCAGAAACTATGACGAATGCTTGGATAGACACTTACGTGTCGGTGGAGTCAGTGGTGAATCGACGAGAGAACCCGATACGAATCTGCGTCCTGAGATTACCACAAAACGCCGTATATTATACCTGTATATAAACGCAGTGCCTTCTATCAGCTTTTTTCAACTTACACATGCGCGTTCAAACCGAATGAGATTGCATCTGGCTTTGTGGAGCCCCCTATTGTTGAGTCGTTGAGGCGGCTGTGGCGGTACGGTTGCTGCGCACATACCATCAGTTCCTTGCCTCGTACAAGACCCGAAGGCCAAGTTTTGTGCCTGCTTGAAACTGCATGGTTTGAAACCGAACCAATGCTGTTGGAAAGCCCACTCAACTTGGCATGCGGCACGGCTTTCCGGCGCCAGTTCCGAAAGAGACTCTTGCTGGGCATGAGTGACGACGGTCGCACAATGTGTCAGAATAGCCGATGTGTACGACACACTGTAAAGCCCAGTCGCTCGTCGAGTCAGCAACTTGCTGGGCTGCTACAGCTAGTTGGTCCTGATGGCCAGCAACAATGGCTCAGCCTAGCACTGCTCAGTAGTATGAACTTTTAACGGCAACACCCTGCAACCCTCATCTTGACGTCCTACATTCGACATGCCACCTAGTGGCGCCGTCAACACTCCTTTATCGTTAGACCAACCACGCAAGACACTGTGATGCTCCAGAAACACACTGTGTACGCCATCCCGCACTCCTGCACGAATCTTAACCAGCTATACATTATCTAACGAGCGTAAGTGCTTGTTCCTCGCTCGTCCTTGGCCACCTGATCCAACGCAGAACTTGCTGTGATAGCGCAGAACCGACTCCAGCAAGCGAAAACTTGGAGCATCCTGAACTGTTGTTTCGGGGTTTGGTGTCCAGGTTTTGTGAAGCTTTGTGGTCTGCTTTGTGGTCACCTTGTCCATTTCGGAAGGGCAGGAAAGGCTGATCGATAGAACAAAGGAAACTCAAGGTGGCTGTCAATGGTTACCAATTACCAAAGACTCAAGCAACCTTCAGGAGACTTCACCATTGCTCGAAAGTCGTGCAACACGGCCACTTCTTACGGGCTTAGGGAATCGAAACAGAATCAAAACAGTCGAACGTACGGAGATGTGTTCAGCTGAGGCGGCTGCCAAGACCGGTCAAGCGTGACCGCAACAGTTTCTGCCAATGTGCGGCACACCTTGAGGTTGGACAAGACAGAGGCATAAGCGGCATCATTCTAACCGATTCTATCCCTCGTCTTGCACTCCGTCAAGACTGCACCTGGCTCTGTCGTGTGCGATCAGACTGCACATTGTTCCTTGCACGACCTGAAGCCGAGAAGGCGCTTTTAATCATTCTCAGTTCGGGCGAAGGACATGTTCAACGTGAGTTAAAACTCTCTGCCAGGCTTTGGACGGTTTCCTCTGCACTGCTCAGACCTGCAGTTGCAAAATGTTGCAAGTGCAGCCAGAACGCAGCATTGCCATGGAAGATAAGCAACCCTGCAAAGCGTGTAAAGCTCCCGCCCAGGCTGCGGCCAAACGTGCAACGAGGAGAAGAGCAAGACCAGTCGGTAGGCAGCCTTCTTGTTCTTCTTATTGCGGAGCAGAAATACATGTGTACATTCTGTAACCGCTTTCTTAAAGTCATGCAAGCTAGTACAGGGACTCAGAAGCTTGACAATCACGCCAGAAGTACACCAAACATCATTAAACATCCTTTCTGAACCTGAGTGTCGTCCGGTGAGGCCCGTGCTTCGTTCTTGTCCATTCTTGAGTTTCAAAGTCAAAGGAACTGGATAACTGGCTTCCACAGAGTCTTACGATCCGGAGCCCAGTCTTAAGAGGAAAGCCCTTAGCAACGCCTTGGGTGCAGACACCTCTTTGACACTGCTTTGGGGGCGTGTGGCATGGGTCCTCTGAGCCTATTGGAACTCTCTTGCGCCTCCTTCCCCCACACTACAAACCCATGCCGCTCCCCGCTCCCCCAGCAAGCAGAAACTTCTAGATACCCGAAAGTCAACGGCGACAGAATACAGCAACCCGTGCCATGCGCCTCTTCACTGTGAAGCTCGTCCTCCTTTCGCTTCGTGCACCTTCCCTGGGTCTGTGATCTCCCACTGGCCTTGGGCCTCACATCCGAAATCTCTGTCTTGGTATGCGAGTATGTTTCTATGTCACGTCGTACTTCTTTCACGTCTTCCCTGTCATCTTTTGTGGGCTCTTCTTTCACATCACTCGTGGTGTCCTTCCCGTCTTCCTGTGCATCCTTCACATGGTGAGCGTCAAGCTGCTGCTTCGGGATGTCTCCGCTTCCTTCTTCGTCCCTTGCCTTCTTCGCCTCAGCTTCTTCCCTGATTCTCCGCTCTGACTCCTCAATCTCCTTCATCCTCTGTTCTTCTTCCTGCTTCCGTCTTGCTTCCGCTGCTTCCTCGCGCTTCTTTCGCTCCTCTCTGATTTCTGCTTCCTTCGCTTCTCGTTGTCTCAGCTCCTGCTGCTTTCTCTCTGCTTCAGCAGCCTCCTGAGCCTCCTGAGCCTTGCGCTTCTTTTGTTTCTCCTCCTCCTCTTTCTCCTCCTGCAGTCTTCTCGCTTCCGCTTCCGCTGCTACACGCTTTCGATTCTCCTCTTCTTTTCTCTGCAACTCAAGTTCTAGCTGCTTCCGCTCCGCTTCCTCAGCTTCGCGCTTCTTCCTAGCTTCTAGCTCCTTAAGCCTGTTTTCCTCTTCCTCTGCTTCTTTTTTCCTCCTCTCTTCCTCTTCTATTTTTTTCCGCTCTCTTTCCTCCTCCTGTCGTTTCTGCTCCTCTGCGGACTCCCGCAGTTGCTGCTCCATTTCTGCTTTAAAGTTGGCAAATATCGATGCCATGGCTCCTGTGCCAGTTGCATCACCCTCACTGTGCCCATGTGACACTGAGCTCTCTGAATCTGAGTGCGTCGGAGAGGGCTTTGTCTTCGAAGGCTCCGACTTTGCCGAAGGCGTCTTGTTCCCTCGTTCACTTCGTTCACTGGACTGGCGCATCCCGCTGCGTACAGTTGGGGAGGAGGAAGGCTCCGCACGGCCTCGAGACTCGCCGGCTGCAGCGGCCTTTCCTTTGGATTTGGGAGCGACCCGATCTGGAATTGGTAACGAGCTGAGATCAATGCTGGCAAGTGGATCGCTGGAGCGATATCCTCCTCCATACTTCCTTGCATAGCCATCTCCGCTTCCCCGGTATGAAGGGCTGCCTCCTCTCACTGGAGAGCGAGACGGAACGTCACGGCTCGCCACGTTGCGTGCCGGCTGCAGAAAGCTCTCTTCGTCGTCGTTCGAGGCTTCCAGGAACCGATCAAAATCATCGTCCATCAGAATCCGTCAAAGGCTCCGCCAAGGCGGCTCCGCCAAGGCTCCGCCAAGGATGGTCCCAAGAATGGTCATGGCAAGGTCTGGCAAGGTCCGCGCTGCGGCCCTCAGCAGAGGTGCCGAATCATGCCTACGAGAAGCTTCTAAGGTTGCTGGCCAGGGGGAAAGAAGCATCTCATTTACATGCCGACGGGGGTATCGAGGGATACTGTCGGTCACTGCCAGTGGGAGTAAGCGATACCGTCGACATGCCCAATCGTCATGGATATGTCATGGACAAAGTACTGGAAAGGCTGGCCAAGGTCGTCAACAGAGTCTGCACTAGGGAACTGCAACTGCATTGGTGCACTTAAGAGCTGCCGCAAGAGTCTTTTCGGAAAGCATCTGCACCGGCACAGACTGGTGGCAACCCTTCAGAAACCGAAGGTTGACCCTTCCTGCTCCAACTTCTTGGCCTCCTGACAGAAAAAGGTGAAAGAACATTCGAAAGAACACGAATACGAAGCTGCTGCATTTGAGTCCCAAGTGCTGGAAGCCCTTGGGACCAGGCTTTTATCGACGTGAGGATGAGATCTGCATTTGTCTCGAGGACCATTCCTGCCATCACTATTTCATCGAGGATGTAGTTCACCTCAGTGCTCACAACAGCACAACAACACCTGCAATCGCCATGCAGACTGAGCACAAGACCCTGTCGAAATGGTAGATAAGGTCAAGCTCACAAACGTTCTCAAAGCACGAATCAAGGACCTGAACGAAGACCTCCAGCACATGGTCACAACGCAAGCGCCCGCTAGCGGCCAGCGGAATGGGCACTCGGGCGGCGGCCACTTCATGCCGCTCCCTAAACGTATCCCAAACCCCCAACATCCTAGTGGTGCATCTCGCCTGGACTCCCATGACTATGAAACAGATTGAACATCAACCTACACAAACTACAATCTGTCAAAACATGCAGCGCTCAACAACAGGCACTGATGCAATGTTGCGGCTCGTGCCTGATCTTGAAGCTTGTTTGCCGACTTGTTTGCAAAAGACTTGCCACGCCATATCCGCACAGGTCCCAAGAAGTTCTCCCCTCCGTTTCCGCCCCCATCAGGTTGTTCACTTGTCAATGTTCGAAATATGGCATTGCTGTCAGTACCATGGAAGCTCATCCCAGGCAGTTAAGCTCGAGCCGTAGCATGAAAGCCCGCTGAATTGTGGAACGGCGCAACTGTGCCTGGATGAGATCCAGAACCCCGAGCTCGCTCTCGGCGCTGTCAGCTATAAAGATGAAATACAAGGTTGCGAAATGCCTGCCATTGCACATATCGTGTCACCAACGCCACGCCGCTGCAACATGCAGCGCACAAGCGGCCGCCTATAAATAATCTTGTGATCAGGTCCAAATAGAGACTCGTCCTGCAAGTGCTGCGCGGGCAATGCAAGCAACAGACCCATGACCTTGTGTAGTTAAGGAAAAGCTACAGCATCATGGACCACAGCCGAACCACGGCCAATGCCAACAGGGCCAGAAACCCTCCGCAATGGGGGAGCTCTCTGCAGAGCTACTGGTGCGTTCCTAGTCGCAAGGGTCCTCCACAAAGCAGCAGCAGTTTTCATCCACGCGCGTGCTGACTGCCAATTGCGGACAGCGCTGAAAGTCCCAACGTGAAGCAGCATGCCATCCATGTTGAAGCTGGTTCACTAAGCCTAGACGAAACACGGTCTGCACAATGTGTTTTTGCCTCGTCATCGCCAGGGTACCAAACAATGCTACAGCTCCAGCACTCAGAGTTCTGCTCTCGGGCCTGTCCATGGCCACGTCGTAGTAGAAGCGCAGCAGTCGGGCTTTGCCCTGTGGCATGGCAAAACATGAAATACCAAGCAGCTGCCAAAGTCCCAGCGACAGCTCATGAAGACCACAGCTTGAGGCTTGAGATTTAGTTGTCATCAAGGTTGTCAAAGAAGATGTAAAGGAAGCGCTCCCTTTTGCGTTTCCTTTCATGCGGTCCTGTGAAACTGGCAATGCTTGTCATGGGAGGTAATCCAACGCCATGTCAGGTTTATGCGTGGAGGAGCACTTGACCCTCCTGCAAGCAGCAACAGGGAACTTGAGTTTTCATCGACAAGTGTCGTCTAGCCATGACATTTGCCATCCTTTCAATGCCACGCGTGTGCAACAATGATAAAAACTGCTTGGCTGCTTCATGCCAGCTGCCTCGCTTTGGCACTCGGTGTTGGTAGAACCTGCACCAAGTCTGAGCATGAGCACAGCTGAGTGCAACAAAATGTACGTCCTGCAAATGCTTCCAGGAAGCTGCTGAGTTCGCCCCTCCATTGTGCAAAGCGCACCCCGTCCCAAAGGGAACTCATGGATTTGATTAGCCTCAGCTGCAGGGATGTTATTGAGCTTGAAGCGTCGGAGAACTCCGGTGACAGTCGCACCCCGACAAGCCCTCAGTAGCAGTGATTTGTCCAGCACACGTGGTCTTGGATCACTGCAGGCACTAGCAAGCCCGCAAAACAAAGACGTTTCATCATCGTCTTCCTCAACACACAAAGTTGCTGCGGTCACTGAAACAGCGGCTATCGGCATTTCATCTCTGAGGCTACAAAAAAGTGTTGCTGCGGAAGTATCAACTTTCAACTTATACCCAAGTCTTCACAGATCAAAGGAGCTGTGGCTCTAAGCTGCTGGAATGATTCAAAAGAACCCCAAGCACAGCACATTTGTGGCAGTAACTCTGCTCCTACTGTTGCTAGATTGGCTTCTTGGCTATGCAGCCTGGAACGATCAACTCGATTAAGGTGCTACATCTACGTTCAGCCGAACTAGCCGCTGCACCACGCTATAAGGATGTGAAGAAGCTTGTGCGATCATGATGAGCAGAAAGAGTCAGAACGAGAAGCACAAAGACGCCTTTTCTGCTGCGTCCGCTGCCCTGTACTGGCCAGCTTGCAGCTGGCACTGGTGGCCCAGACTATGAACAGTAAGTGTTTGCAAACAAGGCCTGTCCAAGTGGAACCACGTGCTCCTCAGCATTCTGGAATCCACGCTCTCCCATCCGCAGAACAGTGATTTTGAGGACTGCCTTCTCATCTTCGAGCATCTCACAGACAAAACTGCCATCTGAATGTACAACTTCTTCAGGAGCTTCTCGGCACTCAGTATTGCCCTTAATCATAATCATCTGGGCATCACCTTTCAGTGGGTTGTCTGCATCCAGCGGTCCAAACACGAGCCGTCTGGCCAAGAAATCAGCGCCGCCACCTTCAAAGTAGGAGCACGAGACCTGCATCAGTTCCGTTGTTGTCCATGTGCCTTGTCTCCGCAGGCAAGCTCGAATCGTGGCCCGGTGCCAAGCTTTACCTTGACACAATTCGGACACAAAATGTTTTCATGATGCTTCATAAGCACACCGATCCAGAACTTGCGGGCCGAACGGGGCAAGGGCGGAGAGGCAAGCGCAAGAGGGGTACAAAATTCGCCTGATCCGGTCTCCTCCCCCCAACCCTTCCCCATTTTGTGACGCACCCCCTGTGGACACCCCCAAATCGCTTGGAGGGGCCGTTTCGGAGTCTTGCTTGTCGTCGGCTACTGTTGAGGGGGCGCTCGAAAAAGCACGAATTTGACTGTTTTAGGACTTTTCCATGAGACCATTTCAGACCCTGGGACCCTGCCGAGGCGGCGCGCGCAAGCGTTTACAATAACCTTCAGACAGACCCACCGGCGCAAATTCAAAAGCGCACGGCCACTTAGCATGACTGAATCCACTTTCACCAAAAGGAGCTGCATCATGAATTACAACACCCCCCGCCGAAAGACTCTGGGTTCCCAGACAGTTTGCCAAACCTCGTGTACAAAAACTTTCGCATTATGTATAGAATGAAACACGCCCAACATTGTTTAAATAAAGTGCAGGGTCAAGACAGGCGCAGGTCTTTGCTTGCTTTGATTTTGAATTCCATTTTTTCCGCCGTAGCCCTTAGTTGGCTGAGCACAGGGGCGTCCATGTGCGCTATGTGTCGCCTTCAACTTCATCTGGTTCAGTTCTGGTGGTGAAGTCACGCCAATTGCAAGAGCACGTAAGGTTGGTTCAGCTCTTCCCTTTCGTTCTACAAGAATGAACATCCAAGCACCCTAACGAAATCCCAATATGCACAGCTCCCTACACTCCCTACACTCAAAACTCGGCGCCTTGGGCGGAGCAACAAACCCGATGAAACTGTGCAGACACATCACCACACCGATTTCAGAAGGTGGTGTAGACACGCAGGACCACGAAAGAAACGGTCCAAGCGTGCTTCGATTCACAACGTAGCCACATGAGCTTCCGCGAATGATCTTCTCGGGTACAGTAAGTGGTCTTGAACCAATCACCCTGAACGGCGCGATTGCTGTCTTGGTGCTGGAAGCCCCAGTGCTGGATCCCTGAAGCCAGTACCGAAAAACCCCAAAAATAGAGCAACACACCAAACATTCGTGCAAACAGTGCTGAAGATGACTCTCCTCTTACTTTACTGGATGGCGTGTCTGATAAGGCGTGTACAACCACGGTCGATTCTTCGGGCAAGCCACTCACCGAGCGCAGCTGCCAATCTGCGATAAATTCTGGAAGGCGCAAGGAAACTGTGCTGGGTAGGGTCACGGACAGCGGCAAAGCTTTCTGCCAGAGTGGGTCTTCATGCATGGAAGAACGTCTCCTGCAATCAACTTCACGAGTGAATATGAAGTCACAAGCTCTTTTTGATTGATGCTCATTGGAACCCAAAGCGACCAAAGAATCAAAAACCCTACACCGTACAGCCTATAGCCACAAACTGCCCTAAACTTCTCGAGGTTAAGCCTTTTAACTTCCAAAACCCCCAGGCCGAGGTCCTAGTCCGTTTGCTCCACGGGTTGGTTATCGGCAAACTTGTCAGCATTGCACGCCATCCACGAAGCCAGCCCGCCCCCATGGCCCTGAATTGCTGTGCGGAAATCCCAAAGTTTTGGCCTGAAGAAAATCTGCGAAGGAAGTCCCTGACATGATGCGGCTGAAGCTGACGGTACTGGGGAAAGGAGCTGCAGCGAACAAGGGATAACAAGGGCGCATGCACGAAAACAAATAACAAAAAACAAGCATGTGCCGAGATCTTGAAGCCGAGCAGCATCTGTGCAGCCTTCCAGGCGCAACTGAAACGGCCTCTCCTGCAACTTTCAAGACCCCAGACACTTGACAAACAACACGCAGCGTTACTCGAACAAGTCCTGTCCCAGCGACAAGGATATGATACAACAGTCACGTTCACGACCACCGAACAAAGGTTCGTCCTCGATCCAATAGACTCACACCCTCAATTCCACGGTGTGTGCTGTCACAACGCATCAACTGGGGATTCGGCATCTGCATGCCAGTCCAAGTGGTCCGAGCCGTCAGCATAAAGATTCACGTTGCAGCTGTTAGGCCAGTCATCCGAATCCTCCTGAAAGTGGCAATGAAACGAAACGATTCTGACAATTCTGCCGGATGCATGTGTTTGGTCGAGGGGATTGCAGTCAGTCCTTTGTAAATCCACACATGGGCATTACTCCCTCCATCAGCGTGTGCATAAAGTCTGGGAACGGCGTGGCCCTAACCACCTCTCGACTGGCCACTTTGGATCTTGCACATGCTACAAGCCGCATGCTGCAATCCTCTGTAGCTCACTCCTGCTCATCTGAAACTGCTGGCCGTGGCACAGCTCCTCCATATTGGTAGGAGCAGCTGCAACCAGGTCGGACCAGCCATTTCGTTGCGCGGGAAATCAGGCCCATGTTGCCCGTGGGACGGTCCTGACAGAGTCAAGCACGCTTGTTGGTCTGGGCGCCAAGACCCATCCACAGGTTTGTCCGGATGTCGCAGAGGGGAAGGTGGGGGGGGCATGTATGTACATTGTACATATATGTATAATGTGTTGTCACCCCTCCCATGATCCACGCCCTGTGGTTGCAATTTCCTTTAGAACGTGATGAACGTGGTTTACACTGCAAAAACCAGTGCAAACGGTCAGTCATTTAAGCGGTATTGACGTCAAATTTACGACATTTCCAAATCCATCTCAAAAAGTGTCCTCAATTGTCCTCACGAACATTGCTAGTATTGCTGCTACTCAAATCAGCAAAACTTGTTTCTTGCTCACGGGAGCAGCAGCAGCAACTTAGCGGATACATTAGCATTTTCACGACTAGTGCCCAACATAAATAGCACGTATAGCATACATATATAATTATAACAAATAACATAAAAAATGTATAACAAAGACTGCATCCAGAACCTGAGAATGACTTTCTCAGCCAAGATTGCTTCAGGCGCCCGCGGCTTTGGAAACCGTTTTCAAATCCAAGTCACCCCTGGCCACCCTGACCCACAACCAGCACCAATGCACCAACACACACCAGCACCCTTACCGCTAAAGCTAACTCAAGCCTAGCTGGACTAGCTTTCGTGATCTTTTTTGCGCATGCTTGCCTGTGCATACGTTTCTATCTGTATGTATATGTATCTAAATCTGTATGTGTATATGTATATGTATAATGTATAATGCATAATGCATAATGCATAATGTCTAATGTATAATGTATAATCTATGATGTATAATGTATAATATGCTGCATAATGTATAATGTATAATGTATACGATATGATATTTACAGTCCGCAAAGGAAGAAAGCAAGAAAAGATGATATGATATATATATATACATATATGTGTATATGTATGTATACATGTGGCCCTGCGTGCATATTCCAGATATGGCTGCAGAGGATCCCAGCCACCAGCGTCGTCAATGCCATCCTTCACGAGCTTGGCCCAATGCTTGGCAGTCTCGGCATCGACCCCGCCCTGAGAATCTGAGAGTTCGAATCTCTGAGTTTTGTTGATTTCCCATTGGCAAACACGTTTTTCTAACTCGCGTCGGAGTTTTGCTTCTCAAGTCTTCCCCAATTTTTTTCTCCTGAGGTCTTGGAATCTTAGCCTTGCAAAAGAACGCTGTACTTGTGTAGGACACGTCAACAGGGTTCGGACCTTCGGGGGTTTAGGGGCAAACGTCGCATCTGGTGCTGCAATTTTTTGTACTTCCGAGTCTTGGCTCGGTTTTAAAACTGTGAGTTGTCAAGGAACACGTCATTTGGTGAACGAGGAAGGGCCCTTTCAGCAATGTGGATGAAAGTGGGTTGCAGAGGTCCAACAATGTAAGGGTCAGGGCTTCAAGGGGTCTCAGCCTCAGGAGTTGAAAGCTCGGCAGATTTGTATAGTCTGAACAGCTAGACTGTCGAATTCGCGTGAACCTGGGTTTCAGAACTAACGGCCAACACATTTGTTACATGAGGAGACGCTTACTTGAAGACCTCTGTCACGAAGCCAAACAAGAAATTTAGGACAAAGTCTCTCCCTCGGGCCTTCCCAGCACGTAGGAAGCCACAAAAGCCTAAGGAAGGTGTTGTACACATTTACACATTGCAGAATGGCCTTGCAATACCTTGCAGCTGGTTGAATCAAAGCAAGAAGCATCTTCGCTTGTTGTCCATGACCGCATAATTCCATGGTATCTTTGGCGCTCTCCGCCCAATCGTCCAACTGGGTAAACTTTCTGGACCTGCCAACGTCTCCGTACCTTGGAAATATATGCACCATACACATGCAACTGCCATCACAACTACGCCAAGAGCTCCTGAACGGACAGAGCCACATGAGGGATATGCACATATTGTTGTGTGCCATGCGTTCTCGCCCCCGCCCCCCCCAACCACCCCCCACCCCATGGCATACGATCTCCCCCCTAACCCTAAACCCTAAGACCCTAAAACCCAAAGCCCTCAAGCCTACCCTAAACCCTAAACCCTTAACCCTGAACCGTAAACCCTAACCCTAAGGCCTACACCCTAAAATCCCGAACCCGAAACCCTAAAACCCCAAACCCTAAGCCCTAAACCCTAAAACCAACCCACAACCACACGCGGGGGGGAGGGGCGCACGGGAAGGGGACGGGGGGCCCGCCGGGTTGCAGTTAAGCTGCTGGGGGCTGCACTCGTTGCCTGGTTGTCAAGCGAAGGTTTCTGCCTGTTTTGCAGTGCTTCCCATTCCTCTTCTGGTGGAGGAGATGGTTTGGTCAGGACCAAACATGGAAACCAACCTCGCTTCTGCTGCTCTTCGGACCAACCAAAGAGCCATTCGTTTTCCTCATGCTGGATGCATAACAACTCTCCCTTTCGAATACGCAGGTAGCCACCACCACCAGAAAGTGCACCTCGCTTGGCGACTTCACGTCGTTCGGAAGCCGTGCCTGCTGCCTTTGTTTCTTTTATTTCCTCCATAGCCTCTGGCCCGTCCTCGGCGGATGGTTATGTGAAACGCGAAATGAAAAATGCCATTTGAAGGTACTGACAACTTGACAAAGCGACTGCATTCGACATGCTTATGCCTCTATGGCCGGAACCCGGACACACAAGAAACAATCATTGTTGAACTTGAGCTTCATCGCATACTTTCAATTGCTGGATGCTTAGCCATCCTTGGCACATCGATGTTGCACCAAAAACCCATCCACTCCTCAGCACCAGCGAAAGAAAACAAGTCGTGACTCACGAGTTGCAACCCTCTATTCAAGCAACTCGAGTCAAATGACTTCAACGTTTTGGATCCGTCATCCAATCCGTTTTGTTCGGACATGTGGAGTGTGCATGCTATGTCCAGTCATTCAGTTAAATCACAAACCAACTGAATTTGCTGCGAAACCACTCGTCCTGTCTCTCTTCGCTTCCGACGTAGAGAATACGAACTTCATCTCCAGCGAAAGCTTGTAGATAGCCAGGAGAAACGTCAACGACCTTGCAAGGCGCAAAAACTACCCTTCAAAGTTTCTACTACCGACTGCTCATTTTTACATCCGAATATTGACATCCAGCACGTTCAGCTCTGCTTAGAATGGGACATCTCGTTGCACGGTCATGAGCTCGCCCTTTCGCACGGCCATAGGCGCCATAACCAACGCGCTGCAATTGAGAAGCTTTCTAATCCACATTAAGTGGCACTCTGCAAGTTCGAGAACGAATGCCCCTAACTAAACAGACCTCCATGTGAACCCAGATCCCAAATGGAAAGAAGGGCAAATTCCTAATGAACCTGCTGCCATTGCAGCCTGGATGTTTGATGATTGCTGCACATGGCGGCATATGCTGGCATCATGCATTCAAAAGCTGCACAATAACACAAGTACACGCAAGAGCCACCTGATTGTTCACGACCTGGCTGACAAGCAATTTCGAAAACTAGATGCTTCGACCAACTCTCGAGACAGAGTTGGCTCCTCAACGGACGTTCAAAGATTTGAGAACCAAGCGCCAGGCCAAAATTGCTTTGATCATGGCTGCAACAGCTCAGAGCTCAGATCCTTGTCTTGAATGTATGAACACCTTGCAAGCATACCCAAGAATCCTGGCCACCGGAAAGCAAGGTTGAATTAGAGAGGATCAAGTTGTTGCTGTACGCAAACATGCATCACTATGTCGTAACTACTTTGACATGTTGAGCCGGAGCCACAAGCACATGCCGTCAATCCCCAAACTTTCATGTCAACGACACATCTCAACACGTCGGGGAATGTATGTTAGGGTTTTGGAAAAGATTCGTGCTCACTCTTCACGCTTAGCAAGTGATTATGTGGCTATGTGAAGCAAGGTTTATGTGTCTTGTACCCCCAAAAGGACGCCCAATATACACACTCACCAAGATCAAAGAGGAGCTTTGTATACACTCACCAATAACAGTAATATGAACCCTACTTCATGTCCTGTTCGAACACAACGATAACCTACTCCCTGAAAAGTTGGTTCGCAAGCTAGCACCCTTCGTATGCTGATGATTTCTCAGCTCACGAAGCATAAGGGCGATCGATGTTGAGGGCGGGGGAAGCTTCATGGGCTCCCGATCCTGAGGATACGTCTAAAAAATGGGGGCGGGTGCTGACCCTCCCCAAACCTACGCTCAGTAGCTTCAACTTGCCAAACGAAACGTTTGGATGTTGCATGCCGCTTCCCAAAGACCAGGCGTTGAAATTGTCATTTTGTATTACAAAGAGGTCTGATTACGTCAGGTGGTGCGTGGTGGCAAGATGGCTGAATTCCACGAGGAGGCTTGGGAAGGGGGTGGGGGGCGGCTTCTCAATTTCCAAGCTAGAGGGTTAAGGGGACAGGGGACAGGGCCAGCGGGGGGACACAAAAATTAGGGGCTGCCAGTTCCAGCCGGCGCAGCTGCTCTAGGCTCGGTGACATGCCTGGCATTGAGCCTGACGGCTTGCGTTTACACTCCCCCACAATAGCCGCGCCTGCGAAGGATGCAACTTCCGACTGGTACTGATGAAACGAACAGGACAATCACGCGTTATATTTGCAGGAGGGGGGAGGTTCTTATGTTCATTGCTCGAACATCCGAGGAGTAGAGAGTTGATCTAAATTCCACCCTCTTTCTTGTGTGAATTATTCGAAAAGTAGAGAGAAGCTGAGAATTGATCCAAATTCCACCCCCTTGTTTCTTGTTTCTATTTCTTGTGTTCATTATTCGAAAAATCAGAGGAGTAGAGAATCAAAAGAGAATAATTTAAATGGGAAGAAAGTCTTTTCTGACGCAATCAAAAAGCGGGGAGGTTGAGAGGGGGCGCACCTCCCCCCATTTCCTTCTTGTTGAGCCCTCCATGGACCCTCCACCGAAAAATTTAACGACCCCGGTGCATTCGCCAAGTCGCATGAGAAGAAGCTGCTGCGTTACGACTAACACATACAGCATCCCAAGACCCACAAGGCCAAATTTCCCGAAGCCGGCTGTTCAAGCGCCGCAGTGTATCAGGCAACAGATCCGTCACCTTAGTGCATGCATTGTGATCCCCCGCCCGGACACCGAAGTTCCAGTACCCGGAAGGCAAGTCGCAGAGCCATTGGGCCGAGACTAAGATCTGTAGACACTGAACACAAAGCGCGTAGACACTGTGAAGGCTCTACCGTGCGTAGAACCGCATGAGAACCGGGTTCACGCACGTCTGCAGATCTTGCGTGCGACGATACAACTGGATGAGGCAAGACATGACATCGCGGTTGTGCGCAATAAACTTGCGATTCAGCTCCAGCCTAGGCCGGCAATGCCAAAGCACCTTCATCCGGAGGGTAAAGGTTTTGGGAAAGGTACTGGTAAGGGGGCCTGGACGGGGAGCAGGTAAAGGGAAAAAGGGTTCCAGGGCAAGAAGAACCGCTTTGCATCTCATTTTGTAGAAAAAAGGCGGCCAGCGCGCAAACACCGTGCCGCCCCCCATTGACGGTTGGCGGGGGTGAAGGTCCAGGATCAGGATGTGCCGGATGACGGCTGTTGCGCAGTCTTGAAAAAGTAAGCGAGTGGCTAAAATAGCTGGAGACAAAATCCAAGATTGGCTGACAGAAACCCGCAAAACACGGAAGCTGAGCCGAAACCTGCGAGAAAACCAACTCCGATGGTCACCTGGCCACACCAACAACCAAGTGCTGAAAAAAACGAAAGGAGATGAAAATGAAGGGAACCCTCAGAGAAGAAACCGCAGCACCGAGGTCAAAGCGCCAAGGTTCGCGGCAAGGATTGCCCAAGCCGAATGGGATGATGAGGTGGCCCTCACTACGATCCCCAAACTTCAGAAAGCCCTTGAAGAGGGAGAGAAACTTCCGGGCAACTTGATCATAACTAGAGAAGCTAGTGACATTGATGAAGCGCAGGCTCTCCTGAATGCGTACTACCTCTGGGGCCGCTTAGTGTTGCGCTAACGGTACAAAGTGACAGCATGTCACCAGCTGCTGCCATCCGGTGTCCCAAAGACCAGCATCGGCCAGAGGTGGAAGCTCGAGGTGCGCCAGCTTGGCAATGAGCCACCCAGACCTTAAGCCCCCTACGACGGTCACCATCAGACATGAGTCAGGCACACCTATGGTGACGACGTGGATTTTTTTCCTAACGGCAAATGGGGGTGCAAAGCACTCTCCCGCTTTGTTTACTGGGAAACCTTTCACTCGGAAGCTGGAACCAATCTGAAGTTTCAACCTAAACCCCAAACTCTGAAACCCCAACCAGTTCCATTTTTACGAGGAGAGGACGATGACTTCGACTGCGACTACGACCAATACTACGACTACCACTACCAGTACTACTACTGCTGCTGGGACGAACACTGCTGCTGCTTCTTACTTATTACTACTACTA